GGAACAACATACTTAAAAATCACCCAAATCGGTTTAGGGGTTTAAAAGTTAGTTGGAAGTCTTTTTGACCGACCGCACGCATGGCTTCATGCCCAAAAACAGTTCCAGAGAATTAGGTTGTGCGGCTGGTCTATTTTAGCAGTCAAAGTAATGTTCCAATAGTCAAATGTAGCCGTTCGTGCATCTGGTTCGGTAGATTAAATATACCGAATGGCGCTCCATTCGTGCAATTCCAGTTGAACCTAACTGGAGGTGGAAGTCCCAGCGGTGTTGGTGCCGTCGAGTGTCCGATTTTAGTCCCATGCGCTCAACGACAAAACACCACTGGAGGCGTTCGACTAAACAAGATGGTCGCCACCACATGTTGGACTATACGAACAGAGACCACCCAGCCGTTCGTCAATTAAGCCACAGTTAACCACAGCTTCTGGGAGGTTAACAGGCTGCACACTCCACTTGCAGGTGGTCCGGCTGTTTGACAGTTTCTTCTGTAAATGAACGGGACAATAGATATTATAACCCAGAGACAGCGGATCTGTCAAAGTATGCATAATACTTCCACAAATCACATAGATTAAGCAAAGCTATACATATAATTTTTTTAATTCAACATGTCATTTAAAAAAAAAACATATATAGACATACACACAGATTTTTGATTAATAGATGCTCACTAACACGTACTGATGCCCACACATACATATACTGGCGCACAATGACGCATACTGACACATACAAACAGTGACGCATACTGACACATACATACAGTGACACATACTGACACACACACACACACACAGTGGTACATACTGACACACACAAACAGTGATCCATACTGACACACACACACACACACACAATGATCCATACTGACACACATAGTGATCAATACTGACACACACACACACAGTGATGAGAGACATGAGACCGGACAATGCAAAAGAGCTGAAGGCTACTATTGAAGCATCCTGGTCTTCCATAACACCTCAGCAGTGCCACAGGCTGATTGCTTCCATGCCAGGCCGCGTTGAGGCAGTAATTGCTGCAAAAGGGGCCCAAACCAAGTACTGAGTCCATATGCATGCTTATACTTTTCAGAGGTCCAAAATTGTTCTATGTACACTCCTTGTTTTATTGATTGCATGTAATATTCTAATTTACTGAGATTGTGGATTTGGGGTTTTCATGAGCTGTAAGCCATAATCATCGCACTTATGACAAATCACGGCTTGAACTATCTTGCTTTGCACGTAATGCATCTATCTCATATATTAGTTTCCCCTTTTACATTGCACTACTGAAATAAATGAACTTTTGCACGATATTCTAATTTTTCCAGTATCACCTGAATATTAATTACAAACATTTTATTAATGAGAGGGGTAAAATGTATGTCTGAAATTGTGATTCATCTGAAATTCTGAATTCCAAATTGATTAATAGCAAAAAATATGTAAGCAAAACCCTGCTAGGGCTCTGCGCACAGAATGAGCTTTGAATACAGAAAAAGTATTCTTAAAGGCTTTCCCATATTTTCAAAGCTCAGTTAGAGAGCTCTGATTTGTAAGCCAACCAATCTGAGCACTTTGAGAGGCTAGGTTCACCGCTCTCAAGACTTATGTGAAAAATCACCAAACAAAAGAAAATTACAAATATAACAGCAATAAATAAATTAAAAACAACACGTTTTCTATATTACAGGGAATGTTTGTCCATAGACTAATTTGGAGAAGTGCCCATCCAGATAATTTCTGCAATAATAATAAAACAAAAAAAAATGATAGTAAATATATACAAACAAAATTACAGCGGTAAAAGTGTACATTATTGACTTTTCTTGGGGGTGGCTTACTGTTTTTTACAAAAACTTTACATACACCTGTAGCCTGTGAAGTTACACAGGCTGCATTATCTGAAATGCCCAGTAGATGGCACATGGACTCAGTATGCTGTTAATAAAACATTGAGCTTTGATCACATGACTTGCTGAAATCAGGAGATGAGTGTGGCATCATCGCAGGGCCTGTCAGGACTTCCTGCACAGCTCTGAGGGAGGAGGATTCTAAGAGTGACCACATGCTGAGCCAGAGAAAGGACATGTGAGAGACTGTAGCACAGAGATAGGACCTGGCTGAGAGAACTTGTTTCACCCAAGATCACACCAGCTGAGAGAGGGACCTGCAGGAAAAAAAAGAAGACAAGCACTGAGTCCAGACGTCTGGCGAATCCAGTGAGAGGAGACTGCTGCCGACTGACCTGGTTAATCGTGTTGTGAGGGTAAGCCAAGCCTCTCCCTGTATCACCACAGGGCACCTGTCTCCTCACTCACAGTAAAGACTCTGAGGTCCCGTGACGGACATTACACATCTGAGGCTGCTTCAGTGACCCTGCGGAGCAGGACTTATAAGGGCCCCAACTCTCCTATGTGCACCAACGGCCGCTAGGGCGAAGATAAGGGGGTGGGGCGCAGGTGTGCTGGTGGGTGAGTGAGGAAAATCCACATTTTGCATTGTTATCTGTGTTACTCTATTGTATTTTCCTATGTATGTTGGTTCAATTGCTACTTACCATATAAAGTTAGTTCCAGTTAGACTGTGTCAGTCTCATTGCACCAAGTATGTTCCCAGTGGGACCCCACATCCCTACCCCGGATGCTCCACTGGGTGGAGGCACTGCCGCAGACATGTACCCCAGCTCCCAGATAGCGGAGGCTCAGGATCCGCCTGTCAGGCATAGTGAGTTAACTAGGTTTGGGGACCCCAAAGACACTAGGGGCACCCCCAAAACCCCGTTACAGATGGAGGCACTGCTGAGATGTATTGGGGTACAACCAGTGAGAATAGGTTAAGTCCTCAGGCCACTCCCTCCTTTGTGAAACAGTGGGCCCAGCAAAGAAATGTACCATTACAGCAAGCTGTGATGTTATGCAAAGTCCCATCCTGCTGTGAGATGAATCACGTCATCTTGTGTATAGAAATTCGACTGGGAATAGAAATGGCGACCATCAGAGATATCCTGCAGGATCCTGAAGGCCAAACTTACATGTTAATATATTGTCATACGGGCTTGGGAGACCATGAGATGCCTACCAACATTCATTTACATGGAGCCCCGGATGAAGGATGCTCCTTAGTGTACGCTCTCCTTGATAAGAAAGAAAGGGTCTCACTGCAACAACCTTTTAAATTAGAACGGAAAGATTATGTCACAGAAAATTATTCTAAGCTCCTGACCCCCATCTCCGGAAAGGCCGGAGCCATTCCTAAACAAGCTGCCCATCCTCCTAGAGGACAGGGGATGATTACTCCTAAAGCAGAATCTCATCCATCTACAGCATTACTGAAACCAGACAACCCTGAAGTACACACCCTGCCTACAGGAGGTAGTGATGTATCGGACATACTACAGAAACTCTCAGAAGCCATAGTGACGGCAAACCACACCCATAGTTACCGCAAACTAAAGGTGTTTTCTGGGAATCAGCCTGTTCCTGCAGGAGAAGAGCCTTTTGAGGTCTGGAAGGATAATGCTATGCAGTTGTTGGAGGAATGGTCTTGTACGGATACCATAAAGAAACAGCGGTTGGTGGAGAGTCTTCGTTTTCCCGCTACAGACATGATAAGACTGTACAAGGGAGTAAATGGGCAAGCTACTGGGCACGACTATCTACAAGTTTTACAGGATGCTTATGGGAAATCAGAAGATTTGGATGATCTGTTGGTTAAGTTCCTAGCCACTAAGCAGAAGGAGCATGAAAAAGCCACTGACTATATCAACCGGTTACAGCTATCGCTTGGAAAGTTATTCCATAAAGGAGCAGTCACTGCCCCTGAGTTGGATGCTCGGCTATCTAAGCAAATTCAGAGAGGTGGTTTGACCAATAATCCAGTTATGATTCTGCTGAGAGCCAAGTTGGATGATAAAGTTCTGCCTTATTCCACATTAATAAATACAGCCAGGAGATTGGAAGACCAGATGTGTCCACCCCTACAGAAGGAGAAAGAGGATACAGAACTGTCAGCTCTTAGGAAGAAGGTGGCTGAATTGGAGCTTTTATGCAAATCACCACCAGAGAGAGCAGATCTTCCCCCTGGAAGTGGGGGGCAACACAGGAAGACTCAGAAAAAGCTGTTTCCTGAGGATTCACCCCGCCGAGGGGACTGCTTTAAATGTGGAAAGTCAGGGCATTTTCAGCGGGAGTGCCCTGCGGATTCCATGGAGGTGGATGTGGGGGTGCTGGCAACCGAGCTCGGGGAGACTCAAATGACCAGGTCTTACAAGCGAAGGAAGACCCGGCCTACATATAGTCTATCTGTAGGGGCCAAGATTGGGCCTAAATCTTTGATACACGTGCAAGTGGAAGGAATTCATGCTTCAGCATTGCTAGATACAGGTTCTCAAGTCACCATTATCTACAGAGACTTCTATGAACGTCATTTGAAACACATTCCTATGGAACCTGCAGGAGAGTTTCAGCTATGGGGCGTTGGGTCTCAAGCTCAACCTGTGGAGGGATGCATAAAAGTGACCATAACTATTCCCCAGTTAAATACCGGGATGATATGTCCTATGGAGCTGGAAGCTTTGATATGCCCTGCAGCCAAGAAAGTGTGTGCCCCAATAATATTGGGTACTAATGCAAAGATGGTACAGGATGTATTCAGGGCCTATCTGACAGAAGTGGGAGATGTCTCCTTAGACCGACTGATGGAGGTCAGCCCTGTCCTAGGAAAAGAGTGTCGACGACTAGCCCTTGCAACAAAACCAGGGTTGTGCCACTATTCAGGAACAGAACCTGCATTTGTGAAGCCTGGTGAGACCAAAACCTTACGAGCCATAGCCTCAATGCACCATGAAATGTTGGGGGGAACTGGACAATACCTTATTGAGTCTCTGCCTGAAGAGGATCAGAAGAAGGGGTGGACTCTCATACCTGAGATAAAAGATTGGCGAAAAAGGTGATGTCGGAGTTTTCCTGTGATGGTACAGAATTTAACCCCCACGGAAATCCGGATTGATCGTCATCAGAAGATTGGTGTAATACACCTTTTAGATCAAGTTTCATCCATCATGTCTGCGAGTGCAGAACAGAAGGATCATGTGAAAGCACCTTTAGATTTTGATCTAGAAGATTCTCCCCTACCACAGCAGTGGAAAGACAGCCTTCATTCAAAACTGGCCACCCGAGAGGGAGTGTTCTCCAGAGCAGAGATGGACGTGGGGTGTTCTAAGAGTGCCACCCATGCTATAAGACTTGCTGATCCTACTCCTTTCAGAGAAAGGTCAAGAAGAATACCCCCTCGAGATGTGGAAGATGTCCGGGACATACTCCAGCAGACGGAAGGAGCAGGCATCATCACAGAGTCCCGGAGCCCCTATGCCTCACCTATTGTGGTAGTGAGGAAAAAGAATGGTTCAGTTCGGGTATGTGTGGACTACCGTACTCTGAACAAGAGGACTGTGCCAGACCAGTACACTTTGCCCCGGATAGAAGACCTTCTGAACGCCCTATCTGGCAGCCAGTGGTTCAGTGTGCTTGACTTGAGGTCTGGATATTATCAGGTACCCATGAAGAAGGAAGATCAGGAAAAGACAGCTTTCATCTGCCCTTTGGGGTTCTTCCAGTTTACCAGAATGCCGCAGGGAGTCACAGGAGCTCCTGCTACTTTTCAGAGGCTGATGGAGAAAACTGTGGGGGATATGAATCCCAAAGAGTGTCTAGTGTATCTAGATGACCTAATTGTTTTCGGGAAGACACCAGAGGAGCATGAACAAAGATTGCTAAAGGTGTTGGATCGACTTCAAGCTGAAGGCCTGAAGCCATCAGTGGACAAATGCCGATTTGCCCAGAACTCTGTCACTTATGTGGGGCACATAGTCTCCGCTGAAGGAGTAGCCACAGATCCTGCTAAAATTGAAGCAGTGTTGAATTGGCCAAGACCAAATAACATCGGTGAGTTGCGGTCCTTTCTCGGATTCTGTGGTTACTACCGGAGGTTCGTGAAAGACTACTCAAAGATTGCTTGAGAGTTACATGACCTGCTGAAGATTATCTCTGACGTAAAGGGTGTTAAGGCACCATATCCTAAAGACCCCTTTGGAGAGAAATGGACTTCAGGATGTGAAGATGCCTTTCTGACACTGAAGAAGAGACTTACAGAAGCTCCTGTCTTAGCCTATGCAGACCCTGAGAAACCATATATCCTCCATGTGGATGCCAGTATGGAAGGCCTAGGGGGTGTACTGCACCAAAGTTATCCAGCAGGATTGAGGCCGGTGGCTTACATAAGTAGGAGTCTTACAGGTGCAGAGAAGAACTATCCAGTCCATAAATTGGAATTTCTGGCACTCAAGTGGGCCATCGTGGATAAGCTGCATGACTATTTGTATGGGGCAACATTCGAAGTAAGGACTGACAACAATCCACTTACCTACATCCAGACTACAGCTAAGCTGGATGCCACAGGACATAGGTGGTTGGCTGCCTTGTCAAACTACAGTTTCAGCCTGAAGTACAAGCCTGGGCCCAAGAATGTCAGCGCAGATGCCCTGTCCCGCAGACCTAGACTCCCCCCTCACCAAGAAGAAGAGGAGTGGGAAGAGATCCCTGGGCCGGGGGTAGGAGCCTTTTGTCAGATGTATGTGGTGGCCGAGAGTCAAGAAGAATTTGCCGAGCTAAGAGGGATAGACTCCATTAGCCACTCTCCCGAAGCTGTGCCTGAGGTGTTCCATGCTCCCGTCATGCTTCAACAGTGGTCCAGTATAACCACAGAAGACAAGAGGAAGGCTCAAGCGCAGGACTGGTATATTGGGATAGTTATCAGAGCAATAAAGACTAAGAATCCTAAATTGCTGACTTCTCTACCTGTGAATCAAAGAGAATTATACCGAAGAGAATGGAGCCGACTACATCTCGAAGATGGAGTACTCTATAGGGTCGTGAAGTATCATGATCACCCTGACAGAAAACAATTGGTACTACCGCACCAATACCGTGGCATGGTCCTGAGAGCTCTCCACGATCAACATGGGCATCTCGGGGTGGACAAGACCTATGGCCTAGTACAAGATCGGTTCTATTGGCCTCGCATGAGGGAACATGTCGAGCAACATGTAAAGACATGCAGGAGGTGTATCCAGAGGAAGACCCTGCCTGTGAGAGCTGCCCCTATGGGTCATCTGAAAAGCACGGGACCCATGGATCTTGTGTGCATGGACTATCTCTGCATTGAGGACGATACAGCGGGAATTGGAAATGTGCTGGTGGTAACGGACCACTTCACCAGATATGCTCAAGCCTTCCCCACTAAAGACCAAAAGGCTGTGACTGTAGCCAAAGTCCTTTGGCAGAAGTATTTTATTCACTATGGACTACCCAATCGGCTACACTCTGATCAAGGTAGAGACTTTGAGAGTAAGTTGATCAAGGAGCTGTTAGGCATGTTGCAGGTGCAGAAGTCCAGAACCACACCTTATCATCCGGAGGGTGATGCACAGCCAGAACGTTTCAATAGGACCCTCCTAGATATGCTAGGGACTCTCAAGCAAATCGAGAAGCGGTCTTGGAGTAAACATGTGGAAACCATGGTCCACGCATACAACTGTACAAGGCATGAATCTACAGGGTTCTCACCCTATTTCTTAATGTTCGGAAGAGAAGCTCGATTGCCGATAGATGTCCGGTTGGGAGTGTCTCCTGATGGAACAGATTCAACTTCACACTTTCAATATGTGAGGAACCTCAAACAAAACCTTCGTCGGGCCTACGAGTTGGCCACCCAAGCTGCAGCAAAAATGGAAGAACGGAACAAAAGAAGATATGATGCTAAGGTGAGATATCGGGAGATTCAAGCAGGGGATAAAGTTCTTCTCCGGAATCTAGGTGTGCCTGGAAAACACAAACTGGCTGACAGATGGAAAGATACCCTGTTTGAGGTTGTGTCCAAACTGGAAGGACTGCCAGTGTACAACATTCGGGGCCCGGAGGGCCGAATAAAGGCTTGGCATAGAAACCATCTGCTTCCAGTTGTGTATACTGATGAAGAGGAAGAGAGTAGTGAAGAACTGGAGGAAACCCCAGCAGAGAGTCCTGGAAATGGGGCAGAGGAGACCCCGGGAACTCCCAGTGCAGAGGATCAGTGGTGGTCATCACCCGCTGAAGAAACACAACAATTGCCTCCTTTAACTCCTGTGGTTTCACAAAGTCCCGGAACCTCTCCTGGGTCACAAAGTTCTCCAAGGTTGAATCCAGAAAGTCCCTGTTTTGTGCCTGGAACTTCCCTTAGAGACTCTACTTCGAGGGCAGGAGTCGAAGTTCCACAGTTGATGTCCCAAGATCCTCTCCCCCAGCGAGAACTGAGACACAGCACCAGAGTGCGGCAACCCCCTAGGGCCCTAGTTTATGATAATATAGGAGAGCCCAGTTATGCCCCGCTGACACAAGCAGCATTTAAAATGGCCACTTTCCTACATGCACTAGCTGAAGTGGTAAATGTTAGTGACTGTTTACCCTAAATAACTAGCTAGCTAGGATGTTACTGTGCTAACTGTACTGTAGGTATGCTAAACCTTTTTCTGTTGAATTTTGTTAAGCTCCCTGGCTAGGACTTGCCAGTGGAAGGCAAGTATTTTCAAGGGGGAGCATGTAGCCCATGAAGTTACACAGGCTGCATTATCTGAAATGCCCAGTAGATGGCACATGGACTCAGTATGCTGTTAATAAAACATTGAGCTTTGATCACATGACTTGCTGAAATCAGGAGATGAGTGTGGCATCATCGCAGGGCCTGTCAGGACTTCCTGCACAGCTCTGAGGGAGGAGGATTCTAAGAGTGACCACATGCTGAGCCAGAGAAAGGACATGTGAGAGACTGTAGCACAGAGATAGGACCTGGCTGAGAGAACTTGTTTCACCCAAGATCACACCAGCTGAGAGAGGGACCTGCAGGAAAAAAAAGAAGACAAGCACTGAGTCCAGACGTCTGGCGAATCCAGTGAGAGGAGACTGCTGCCGACTGACCTGGTTAATCGTGTTGTGAGGGTAAGCCAAGCCTCTCCCTGTATCACCACAGGGCACCTGTCTCCTCACTCACAGTAAAGACTCTGAGGTCCCGTGACGGACATTACACATCTGAGGCTGCTTCAGTGACCCTGTGAAGCAGGACTTATAAGGGCCCCAACTCTCCTATGTGCACCAACGGCCGCTAGGGCGAAGATAAGGGGGTGGGGCGCAGGTGTGCTGGTGGGTGAGTGAGGAAAATCCACATTTTGCATTGTTATCTGTGTTACTCTATTGTATTTTCCTATGTATGTTGGTTCAATTGCTACTTACCATATAAAGTTAGTCCAGTTAGACTGTGTCAGTCTCATTGCACCAAGTATGTTCCCAGTGGGACCCCACATCCCTACCCCGGATGCTCCACTGGGTGGAGGCACTGCCGCAGACATGTACCCCAGCTCCCAGATAGCGGAGGCTCAGGATCCGCCTGTCAGGCATAGTGAGTTAACTAGGTTTGGGGACCCCAAAGACACTAGGGGGCACCCCCAAAACCCCGTTACACACCTTTAAAGTATAACTGTCATTAAGAAAATTGCATGATAATGTTTCTGTAAGGATCAGACATCTGCAGTTTCCTCTACTCCCGATTATTGACAGTTTGGAAACACTTTTAAAAGAATACTCTAAGCTCCAAAAAAACTTTAGCTTAATGAAGCTTCTATTGGCAGACTATGGGGGAACCTTATACAGGGTGGGGTATGGCTGTGCTTTTTGATATAAGTGTAACTGGGTACATTTAAACTGGGCCCTCTCACCCTGACTTCCTCTACTTTCATCCACTGCAAAGGACATGACCCTGCTCTCACTTTCACATGATCATCCGGGACAGCATAGAGCATGCACAGAACCACCGCTGCATTGCTTGGCATGCTGGGAGTTAAGCTCAACAGGTCTCCAATGGGACTCAACTTTTCATGTAGCTCCTCTCATTGGGTCTCCTTTTTTAGTAGCAGTCAAACAGGTCTAGGTTCTCACTTCATCCATAGGAATGGATTGTTCTAGTAGTCATCTTGTCATCAGATTGCCCTGGTTCTCTAACATCTGATTCAGACCTAATCTGGGTGCCTTGGAGACGGTTTTTCTCTCCTGGTTTGTGTTACTACACATTAGTGACGTATGTGACAATATAATACTAGGGATCTTGCCCAACGACACTTACATTCTAAGACACTGTCATTACCCCTGCACTAAGCAGCTGATCTCTAAAAGCACACTATAATAAAACAGTAGACAGTGTTGCATGATACTGTAAATCATCTATCAAACAAAACATTTTCCGGATTGAGATGAATTGGATTAATTCTCCCAGATGGAACCCATGAGTCACTAGAGTGAGTTTAATGAGGTCTGTTGCATATTGCAGCTGCTTCCAATCAGTATGTTGTCTGTTAATCTCAGGCAGCATGGGATTTTTATGTGTTAGGATAATGAGTAAATATTTGATTGTTTTGTGTTTACATATTTAAGATGAATACCGTAATCACTGTTGCCACTCGGGAGTAGTAAGAGTTTGAGCGCAGGACTAATTAAAGACATTTTTTTGCTTTTGAATTATACTGACTTTCTGTAATAGTTTCATCGGCTCACTGGTAAATGCTTTCTTACCCACTTCTGTCTCATTAGAGATGTTGTCTGTAAACTAAAAGTAGCAAGGGGAATTGTTAGCATATAACTCAATTAGATTATAAACCTTGACAGTGGCACATGATCTTACACTTTAATGGCTGTTGCAGATGTACTAAAAACCAATGTTATTTAAATGTACTTTGTTAGCTTCAATTTATGTATTTACTTAATTTGTGTGCATGACTGTGTGAATATGTGTTTGTGTATCTGTGTTGCATATTTCATATAGCAGACAGTCTCTGTGTAATATGCATACAATTCAATAAATCTGGTACTACAGCCATATCAAGAGAGTACATGAGGAGAGAAAATTGCACTGTCTCTGTATCCCCAGTCCTTTACTCAGCATATCAATTTTGGGAGAGTGTCTTTAGTAATGAAAATAGATAGAATATTCCCACAGCAAGTCTCAATAGAAGTGAAACTTAATCAGAGCTCTCTGATTGGACAGCTTACACATACTCTAATGAGAATTCAATGATTAGGAAAGTCTTTATTAAGGCTTTTCCCAGCTTTGACTCTTATTCAGTGTGAAGTGCTCGCAATTCATTTAGTATTTTTTTCGTCAATTTCTTTAAAAATTGCATATTTATTTTACATTTTTTTAGTTGGGTCACAGTATTATTAATTGTAATTTGATATTTTTGGGGGCTGAAGAAAAGAAGATTTAAAAGAGAGAAGATAAATATATGATAGTAAATATATAAAGTTTTAGTTTAATGCTAAGGGGGTATGAAGGGTTAATTTATTTTAATGGGGGTGGCTTGGGAATTGGGAACTATAGCATCTCTACCTCCAGCTGCGTAAGTCTTTAGAGACGACACTTGCCGCTCAGAGGTGTGGAGTCTGTAGAGGGACATTAGCCCCTCCCAAGATATTGTAATATTATAATATGATAATAATAGCCCCTACCTGCTACCTATTTCTGAGCACGGTACATGAGGAGATATTAGCTTAGGACCCACCTGATGCCACTAGGTCCCTCTGTTTAGTAAGTAGCCCCCATCTGTGACCATGGGTGGGTGCAAGCATACATTAGGATGTTCCCTCTGTTTTCTTACATAATTTCCCCCATGGGTGGGGCCATGGGTAGGGGCAGGAGGCAAATTGTTGGAATTTTGACATCCACGCAGAGATTTTAACAATCCAGGTCCAGCTTTCAGCTGTCCAGCAGCGTTTGGTCCAGCTTAAAAGTAGAAGAGTGTATGGATGTTGCAGCCAAATACTTTTTCCACTGTAGGCCATTTGGACTTTAGTGGTTAATGCTGCCAATCAAGAAGGGCATAACCATAATAAAAAGTATGTTGAAAGAAAAGGGAGAAATAGCAGGAGCAATTTAATTTTACATGTTTTTTTTTAGTTTTAGAGGGTTCACAAAGGTGATGACCACTATCACCACCACTACATTTTAAAAAAAAACATTTTTTTTTTCTATGTAGAGTTAAAAAAAAAAAAAAAAAGTTCTGCCACACAGTGCCATGCACTCAGTGTATGTAAAGTTTACTTGTGAAAGTGGCATTGGCAGTAGCAGCTAGGCAAAATAAACTTTTTTTTTCAGTTTTTTCTAATGCTGCTATTCTTACAATCCTTAGGATGAATATTATTTATAGGGTGGTGACATCTGTGGTGGTAGAGTCAGCATTGGAGGAGGCATCAGCAGTCCTCATTGTCGAGGAAGAGATGTTCCATGGCATGACTCCGAATGGTGGATTGGGAAACACAACCCTTACCCTACCCTTCCTCAATTTCAACTTGGGAGTAGTTTGTGAAATTGATGATGATATGTTTATTTTATTATTAGAATATATTAGGTTAAGTATATGAATGATTAAACAAAATCGTGGTCCCTTGTGGGATCGAAACATTGCACTTTGTTCCAATAAACCTGCTGGTCAACTGATCCTTGAGTGCCTGGACCAAATTTTGTTAAACTATTACAGGAGCGGTAGCCAACCCTCTGGCTGCACCAGGATTTCAATAAGTCTGCATGCAAGTCACATGCAGGGAGGTGTGATTAGAGTACATAAACAAAGTGATTTAACTCTTAAATGGCAGAGAATTGAGCAGTGAGATTGCAGGGACGTGATCTATACCCCAAAACTGCTTCATTAAGCTAAAGTTGTTTTGGTGACTATAGAGTCCCTTTAACAAAAAAATAAAGGCTTGCAAAATAACTTTTTTTTTTTCCAGTTTCAGCAGTCTCTTTGCCTCACAGTCTCTCTGTCTCCGCCCCAACTCTTCACAGGAAAGACTGATTTCCCTCTGCATAGGGTTTATGTAGCTCCCTAATTGATGTACTAGAGCAAGCATGTCAAACTCAAAGGCAAGCAAGGGCCAAATAAACAAGGTTTAAGTTTATGTGGGCTGCAAAAAAACTAACAAATTTTCACCCCCTCTACTACCCCAGCCCCCCACTCACCCTCCCTCGTCTACTAAATCCCAGACCACCCATCATCTACTAAATCCTATCCTGGTTAACCATCCTTCTTGGTTTCATCTATTTATATTTGGAAGTCCAGGCCAATCCTTAGTTTTGCACCCCTCCATTTCACAGGTATCTCATTCCAGGGTCCTATTTACTGCAAAGAGCCTGAGGAATAAGTATTTCCCAAGTAAGTGAGTTTATCTCATAAGTGCAGGCATACAGTTGTTAGAATAGGGCCTGATAAAAATGGGGTACATTGGCATTGTAGCAGTTTTATGCAATGTATATATAGATGAGTGCAGACTTCCTGGTTTCATATTTAAATATATATATCTATATATATATATATATATATATATATATCTTATTCATTAATTACCTGTAAAATATGGTAATACAAAATGCTAAAAAATCCTTTTGTATTTTGCAGCTATGCTTGAGCCTCCATCTATCTCATTTTCAGCTGGCTACAACACTTTCCTCACTGGAGAACCAGTCCTTCTCAAATGCAAGGCTCCAGATAACATATCAGTTCATGGGTACATGTTCTACAGAGACGATCATGAGGTGCAGAGCATTGTGGGACCACATGGAAACATTTTCCAGATAAATATGGTGAACATGGACAAGAGAGGATCCTATACCTGTATATATTTGGTGTTGGACTCCAGAGGGCTTTGGAAATCTAGGCAGAGTCCTCCTGTATTTCTCTATGTCTTAGGTAAGAAAGACCGAATTTACTTAAAACAGATGTTTAGGTAGTAAGGACTTGGTATTTGCGTCACTATAATTTAAAGAATACAGAAATACATAATAACAACAGAGCCATACAAATTTCATACCAAACATAAAAGTATTAATACAATTGTATTGCAATGGCTGGGGGAGAAGCTAAGGAGATTTATACTTAGATAAGGCTCTACCTTTGGATGCTTTATGGGTCCATCTTCAGCTCTTGGTGTTTCCTCTGCCAGGACCCTGTATCAGTACAAAACAAAGTTCTATTGGAGAACATGCAAAACTTTGTGTGGAATTTCTTGTGCAAGAATATGCATTTTACCACAACAGTTGCTTAGGGCAGCAGCTTGGAAATGACAATGGATGTTACTTTGAAGCTTCAAAATAGTCTATGAATGTTTCCATGTTCCAAGAAGCATATTTATCCACTAGAAATCAGATTGTATTAAATTTGAATTTAGTAAAATGTGCCTCAGTATATGGTTTTCTAAATGTTTATATTTATAATTTACATATTTGTTGATGAAGATACAATTTTGTTTATAGATCAGCCTTCCACACCTAGAATATTATTCAACCCAAAACAGCAGCTTTACTTTGAAGGGGAGTCTGTAACCCTCTTGTGTGACCACCCACATGCTAATTCCCAGACTCGGTACAATTTTTATAAAGATGGCACTGAGTTACTGAGCTATATTGATGTAATCCACTCTAAACTCCAATTTTCAAGTCTGAGCACAAAGGATTCTGGGACATATTACTGCCAGTACTGGTTATTGCCAAATCAAAGAAAGGTCACTTCATCTAGAAGCAAGGGAGAAGAGTTTGTTGTTACAGGTAAGTGACCCTTGAATGCATTAATATGTCTGTGCCCTGCCCTTCCTGATTCTGTACGTTAAAGCGGCACTGTCTTGCCGAACTTACCTTTCCTCAATCTCTTCCTCTTCTCCACCTCTCTCAGAATCTGTTCTTCTTTTCTTCCTGTCTTCTTTAGTTTTCTTTAAAATCATAAGACAAAGTAGGGACTCTTTGCCTTATGGAGGTTTCCTCCGCTTGACCAGCTTTGACCAGCGGAGGAGCAAACTGTGCTTCATTTCCGCTGGTCAGAGCAATTTTCCCATAATTCTTACCTCTCCTCTGTGATCTCGCGATGCTTCCTGTCATTTTAGAAGAAACTGCCGAATTGCGTTCTAACTGAACGAGAACAGTATGTTTGTTTGTTTTAGAACTCAATTCGGCACTTTGTTCGTATTGGAATTTCATTCGAATGAATGAAACTCTGATTCAATTTGTGCCACGACTGCAAGATGCAGGGAGTTATCTTCCAAAAGGCTGAAAGACCTAAATTGGTCTATCAGCCACATTTACTAATACTAAGTAAAGATTACTTAGTATTAGTAAATTCAGCCCCTACTCGCTATACCGTGAGTAGGGGCATGTCTAGTAAACAGTGAGCAGCCAGTGGGGGCCATAATGGACAATCGGGGGGGGGGACCTACTGTCCTCCCCCACTGGCCCCAACCCCTGCACGATGGGTGGGGACCATAAATTACAATGGGTGGGACCTACAGTCCTGGCCCCAGGCCCCCACCCCTGGGCGGTGGGTCGGGGCCATAAAGATAATGAGGGGGGGCTGCTCACTGTTTAGTATACATGCCCCTACTCGCGTATAGCGAATAGGAGCATTTGGGAGATTTGAATTTCCCTTATGCTATTATGGGGGTCATATTGAGGACATGGGGGGTTCAGGAAGTGGTGGGGAGCACTGCTCCCTGCCGCTTCTATCTTTATATATTACAAGGAGGTAGCTGCGCGCCGGTAGCTCCCTCCTTGTAATAAACTGCACAAACAAACAAACACTGATATTCAGTGTTTGTTTTGTTCGTCTGACAATGCTATTCATTCATTCGTCTTTCTGACGAATTAATGAATGAATGGATGAAATTCACGTTCGGATGTCCAAGTGTTTGACTGGGCATGTGCGGGAATCTCAGTCTGTCTAGTGTGGGCAGATGACGTGTCCCACAGGGACTTCCCCTACCCACACAAGGATGGCGGCGCCCTGAATATAGATTGGGGCAGAAAATGAAGAATAAAAATAGGTAATATGGGGGGCTTAGGGGCATTTGGGGGTGACTAGGGGGTCAGTTAGATGTAGTGGAGTCAGGAGGGGGGTTAAAAATAGAACGGGATTCAGCCATGATAGTGCCGCTTTAACTCTGTATATGTGACTCCTGGCTTGCAATACTAATTACAATTCTCGATCAACTGCCATTGGTGTGATCTTAATAGTTCTACACCTCTTATTGAATTACACTCATCTGTCATTTTTGCTAATTAACAATGGTTCCAAATCGTCAAGCTTTTTTGTTTTTGTCTGCATTACCATAGTTTGTGTTAGCTTAAGTACTACCAAAATTTACATTGGAGTTTGTGTTTATTACAAAATCGTGTAAGGGAAGTGGTGGTTTGCATTGGATTAGCTTTTTTCTGTGACTGGATTCTAACTCTACAAGCTAGAGCAATAAATACTCACAGGAAAGAAAACACAATTATTAAGTGGTAAGAGAGACATTTAAGATTTAACATTTAAGAGTGGAAATTAATTATGACCAACTGCAGCAATGTCAAAGCAATTTGGCTATATGACTGAGCATGCTTTCCCCATGGCTATTTTACTTTCTTGTACTTAGAGTTGATTCAGGGCCATAAACCTTTAGGCGACCTGTGTGAATAATATGCACAGCACCCCATGGCCCTTTTCCTGTTTGGCCACACCCCATGCCCTGCTGGTGGCTAGTGCCAGTGTTTGTAGTGTTGGTATGTGTGAATTCAGAGTATGACATCTGAGTATCACAATTGTAAATATGTGGATGTTGTAAATAATTTTTGGATGTGGCCTGCAGAGCCAGAAAATGTGCATACATTTTATTTTTGGAACTAACTAATTTTCCCTTTCCTCACAGTTTTTGTCTCCTCATATTCTCACATATCTTTATCCCTTATATCTGCCTATTTGCCTCTCCTACATTACTTCCCAATGTGTGTCTCCCCATCTCTTACCTATGTTTGTATTTCTGCACATATCCCCATTGTCTGTTTTCATCCATCTTTTCATCTTGTCAGATCTGGAGGCCAAGCAGATGTGATGGCTATTGATCTTTATGGGCTCTTTAGTGGCAGCTATTCTCTGTGTTGAAACAGGGAGAATGAACATAACTCTCCACCCATATCACGCTCTGTCTTTACATCAGAAAAGTCCTTCATGGAAGTGGGCAGCCAGTTTTCAGCCTCAATGTGGCCAAGATTGACCAAGAGATGTGTGGCGGAACCTACTGACAATTTCGTATATTTTGCCCCCTTTCGTGTGTTTTTTTTCCCTTTTCTGTTCGGAAGTTGTTATATATAAACGAAGACCACCCCTGTACCCCATTAGAACGTTCACACCAGAAACCTAAGTGCGAAACCGCAAGGGAAGTAATTAATGAATGCTTCCCCTGGGTGGCCGCCATTTTGTATAACCAAATGCACGCGGTCAAGAAAAGAATCGGGGGCATCTTGTCTCCTGAACGTGGGCAGTGGCACTTAGTCGTCGAGTGTCTGGAACTCTTTTTGGCTAGGCACTCGCACAAACCCCAGTAAAGATTAGACCACTGCCCGTTCTACTTCCTGACCAACTATGCAAATGACGTTCGGGAGATATGAACAGGGGGAACATTTGTACCTTGAAACTAAGAGATTTCCTTGCATGGTGTTTGCACAGGAACCCCAGAATAGAGAACGACCAGGACACCTATTTCCCTGGAACTGTTTTGGGCTAGAATCTCGTGTCCGGCAGGTCAAAACTTTACCCCGGTGGCATTCCAGTTTCACCAAACCGATCTGAGTGATATTTGAATATGTTATACACTCAAATCAGGGCTATACAGGGATACAATTTTTGTGGGGTCACTTTTAGGGTACTGTATATTTTGGATAGATTTTCTGTATCTGAGAGATTTTTCTCACGCAATCTCTCAGGCACAGATGATCTTGGGATTGAAACCCCTGTGTTAATATATTAGAGACCCCATGTAGAGGTCTGTGCATAAAAGCCATGTGTTGCCAGAATAAAATAAATTGACTCCCAGAGTTACTGGGGGAATGGATGTATGCATGTTTTAATGGTTACAGAGTAGCTGAGGGTAATATTTCCAATATTTGTGAATTCCAATGATTTTGTACACTGAAACGATATATACATATTTCTATGTGCAAATCTTAGCCAACAGTTTAGTATACCATTCTCTAAGATAATTATCACACCAAATCACCACAATCAGTTTTAATCAGTTGGAACTGTATTTAAATCATGTTGTATCGAAGAATCTTCATCCTGTCTCTGAGGAAGTGGGCTGACACCCACGAAACACGTTAGACCACAACAAACCAAGCGGGGTACGGACGCAGATTACAGAGCCAGTCACTGTGCTTTCTTCTATCCAACAAAGAGCACTCCGAGATCAAGGGACCAACCGGCCAGCAGCGTGCATCACCCAGAGTGACGTCTGGGACGCACGCCAACCTCACGAGCAGCCGGCAGAGAGTGATTCATTTCACAGCAACAAAGTATCTACATCCATCCTGATCGATCCCTGTGGCAAAATCGGAATCACAAATACAGATGTGCTGGTAATAATCTTGCAAACCGTCCCTAACTGATATTTTGATATTTTTTATACACTTTTTCTAATAAATTTTTTATTATTTTTAATTTTATTGGATTTTATTGGATTTCACTGATTTTATTATATTATGGAATACAGTCACCTATACTGTATCTCTACTTTATAAAGTTTATATCTTTACATCTTTGTAATACAAAGTATATCATTTGGCATATACTCCACTTATTTCTGTGTTTACAGATTTAAAGACGTATACGCCATATATTTTCTGTGTCATTACACACTAATGTCACACTAATTCTTTACAATATAGGAAGCAATTTCTCATACTGCTTCCACACACACAAAGTGGTTTTAATTTTTCTTTTTCACAAAGTATAATATTTGACGTGTACCAGATTTACTCTGTTTTTAACAGATTTAAAGGTATACACATCACACATACCAGTGTTGCTTGAATTATATGTAGTGAATTTCAACCAAAGCCTTTTTAGTGAACCAGCTCCTGGATCCACCACACTGGACTTACGGTGTTAACTCTATTACTTCAAAGAAATCATGAAGTTTAGTGTGTAATGCTTCCAGACTTCTTACTTCACAGACTTCAGGCTGAATTCCATAAACTCCTGCTGCCTTGCCACTTTTCAGCTGTTTAACCTGACCCGACCTGGCAGCAGCTCTCGTTCCAGGCAGGTAGTGTCCCTTCTGCCTATTCTGCTGTAGCCCTTCTTACAGTGATTATAGTGTTTGCCTTTACAAAGGCACTTGCGGCTCTCAGGCCTACCTCCCTTGACTTATCCCAGGGCTGGAGGGATCCTTCAGCCAGCAAACAGGTCCAAAGACTCTGTCACTGGGAACTCCCGTTACCTGAGGGACTCAGGGGATTGGAGACTTCAACCGAGTGTGTTCCACAAGATCACGCACTTATGGGGACCTTTGAGTGTGGACCTGTTTGCGTCCAGACTGAACACACAACTGCATATGCCTTCCCTCCATTCAACCTGATTGCTCGTTGCCTGGCGTACCTCCGATGCTTCAAGAGCTCGATGGTCCTGATAACCCCATGTTGGAGGTCCCAACCTTGGTTTCCACACCTAATGGAGATGGCGATCGATCGCCCGCGGTTACCAGATCACCCATCTCTCCTAACCAATCCAGACGGGGAGAGTCACACTCTGATAGAATAAGGGCTCCTCCGTCTCATGGCGTGGCTCCTTTCTGGGGACCCTGGGAAATTACAGAGGTTTCGAGCACAACTACACAACTCCTGGCAAACGCATGGGCACCAGGAACAAGACATGCCTATACGGCGGCCTGGAGACAATGGGCTAATTGGTGCTTGGAACGATCGTTGGATCCTGTATCAGCCTCTGTGAAATCGGTGTTGGATTTCCTGACACATTTGTTCGAATCAGGCAAAGCCTTTCGCACCATCAACCTATACCGTTCTGCAATCTCGGCAGGCCATGATCACGTGGACGGACTCCCACTCGGACAGAACCCCTTAGTCTGTCGTCTACTTAAGGGTGTTCGTTTCTCACGTCCTCCTACATCTAGATATGGATCCTTTTGTGATGTCAACTCGGTATTCAAGCTCCTAGACGATGGCCCCCTAACTCAGAATTGTCATTAAAACAATTATTGGCAAAATTGCTTATGCTGTTTTTTCTTTTATCCTGTAAGCGAGTGTCTGACGTAAGAGCTTTGGATTGGCAGGCCCGTATGTTCACTCCGGAAGGAGTGTCATTCGATATCTCGCGGAGAACAAAATCAGCAACTCGACAGGTTTTCTACCCGAGAATCACAAATCTACCCAATTTATGCCCCATACTGTATCTAAAAGAATACGAATCTCGCACGTCTGCTCTACGCCCAGCTAATGACGGACCTCTGTTTATCTCGCTGAAGAAAACACATCTTCCGGTATCTACTCCAATGCTCGCGTGTTGGGTCAAATGGTTATTTGCTTGCGGCCGGGATAGATGTCTCGGTGTTCTCATCCCACTCCGTCAGAGGCACTATGGCCTCTAAGGCATTGGCGATTGGATGTCGGTTGGAAGACATCTTGAAGGCTGCAGATTGGTCTATGGAATCCACATTCCGGAACTTTTATTTTAAACCTATCCAACATTTTTCAGATAAGATTATAGCTCAGCTTTGAAATAGCATAATAGGAGCCTCCGTGTCTTTAATAAAATTCCAAGATTTTACTATTAACATGACGTAAAGTCATGATTTTATTAATGACATGGAGGCGAGTATTATTCCCACCCTCCCTCCCTGGGTGGAGTTGGTGGGGTTTCACATGCCGGTCAGGATTAGATTGAGTCTGCCTCTATCCTCATACCTCACATGTTGGATCTTCCCTGTTTTTATTATCGGATTTTGAATATCAAGACTAGATTATCATGCTAATTTTATAATATGTTTTTCATGTCTGATGTTATGACTGGATTTTCTCCAGACCTAGGTAACCAAATATATGCTGGGGTATGTGGTATGTACTATACAGAAATCTTAAGTTCAACATAACCTTTATAGTAGGGTGTATTATTTATGCGCTTATTCAGTATTCAAAGTTTAAAAATGAGGAGAAATACGTGCCTACGGGTATGCAACATGACATTGTGACGTGTGATTAACTTATATCCATACGATTACTTATATCACATTTTCATTTGCTTTACATCATGTATGATCAGTTTATAACCATACGATTACCCATAGCACATTTTCACTTGCTACTCACAGGCTGTAGGAGCGTTTACTACTACATTATGTACGATAACTGCTCAAGATATGAGTGACCCTTTCTTAAGCATCCAGGAGTGGGTTGAATTACAGACACCTGCATTTCACTAGATTAAACATTAATTTACCTCTAACGATTCTTGAATAAGAAGGTAAAGTTAATGAACGTGCCCTGGGACATAAAGCTCAGAGGTAGACAAACTGCAAATCTATTAATGATTAGAGAGTATACCAACGTAACCGTCCTGGCTGGGATCAAGGTAGTGTCAGAGTTTATGGTTTCCTGGCCGGTGAGCCCGCCATCTGCCATTCCGCTTGAAGTCTTCTCGGGGAAGTTCCATCTGAGTTTTCTTGGAGGTTGGTAGTGTTGATCCATAGACCCCAGGCTGTAAGTAATTTCATTCCTTCAGCTGGTTCGTTGACTACTTGGGTTTTCCCTTGACACCAGATTATCAGTTTGGTGGGGTAGCCCCACCTGTATGCCACTTTATGATTTCACAATGTCTTAGTGATAGAAACAAATTCTTTACGTCTTGCCGTCGGGGTTGATGACAGATCTGCAAATAGCGCTATCCGTTGGTGAGGGTCAGGAAGTGTGAGTAGCTTTCTCGCTGCTGCCAATAGAGTTTCTTTATGAGCAAAGCAGTGAAACCTTACAATAACATCTTTTGGGACATCATTATATAAGTGGGCTGGTCTTGGAAGGCTATGCATGCGATCAAAAGCCCACGCGGAGTCTGGTAGGCCTGGGACTAGGGATTTACATATTGAGAGAATGTAGGCTGGTAGAGCATCATGGGAGATATCATCAGGTATACCTCTGAAGCGGACATTTTTTCATCTTGATCTATCTTCCATGTCAGCTAATTTTAATTTAAGCTAACATTTTCTTCTGATAATTTCTGTATTTTGTCTACAACCTCATTGTGGGCAACGCATAGTTCTTCCATCCTGTTTTCCAGGTGGCTGGTTCTGTCGCTGAGGTTAGAGATTTCTTTTCTCAAGTCTCCGTCAATGCAGTGAAAGTCCATCGTAATGGTGGTTCGGAGTTCTTGGAGCATCTTGTGAAGGCTAAGCTCCGTGACAGGTGAATCTGTGTATTTGGAGGATCCTGAATCATAGTCAGATTGACCGTCCAACATATTAAATGTATCGTCGCCATCTTGGTTTTCCTTACGATGCTCGGTTTTCTTCATTTTCAACGTTTCTGACTGTGACAGAACCATCTGTCTGTCTATTGTGGTGGATTCGTCTATTTCTGCCCATTCGTGTAAATGGCTGTTTCTATAGCTCAGCCATACGAATGACTCTTTTTTTTACCGAACAAATCTACCGAACGGATGGCCACCCAGGATAGAAGTGTGCTGCTGGTTGACCTCTTGATCCCAATTAGAACGTTGTGGTTAACCGCAGACACTTCTCAATTAAACCGAATTCAGGGTGGCCGTCGTTCGTATGTCGACCACGAGGCAGCGGCCATTTTAAAACACACGAAAGACCAGCGGTGTTCGGCACTGATTTCATGGAACTAAAAACTGACACTTTTTCTGCCGAACACCGCTGAAACAACGGGTCGTCTGGCTGCCCTGACGAAAGCATACGAACACCGGCCGTTCGGGAGTTTTACATCACACGAAAAGACTTTACCCAGATAGCCTTCCCATGGAGTCAATCACATACCGAAAGACTGTAAGGACTTTGATTCCATGGCGATTGAACAATGTGTGTGGGATCTGAGCGCTATTCGCCAATAATATGCCCTCAGATCCAGGCTATCTGGGGATATGTGATACGAATGTGAAATGTTCGGTAGTTGTGAAGTTATATGTTTTTATGTATTTTCTGGTATTTTATTTAAGATGGCGATTTGTCCTTGTCAAACAAGCTTTTCCCACAATGCAGTATGGTTTCCTCCCCTCTGCCCTGGAGATAATTGGGAAGTAATTCAATTATCTCCAGGGCAGAGGGGAGGAAACCATACTGCATTGTGGGAAAAGCTTGTGACTGTATGTCTGTTATGTCCTCATGTCCATCTGTAATTCCAGTCTCCCATTTGGTCCCCAAGGGGAGTGTCCACCAAGTGGGAGACCTGCATAAATACGGGCGGGTAGCCCACAGTAAAGCCAGATCCTGTTTGACCCTCAATGCGGAGCTTTTGTCTCGTTATTGGGGGGATTTCTTATTGATGCCTAGAGACTGATTATTGGAACCGAAAGCAGCTTGGTGGATATCTTTGTTCGGCGATTAGCGGCGGTTCATGGATTTCTGTTCGGGAGTTTCTAGCCTTTCACAGATCCCAGTCGGGAGATTACCGCTTCCCCTGATGGTGGTTTGTATACTGCAGTCTATGCGAATGGAGTTACTGATATTGCGAAAGGGGAAGGTTAACTAAACGGTGGTTTCCCTTAAAGACACCAGGGGTGTCTTAACAATTGGTGGCAAGCGACGGGATGAATCCCACAGCACAGAAGGTCAGCTACACATCCCAATTTGGTGGAGGAAATGCAGTATGAGGAATTAAGGCGTGCTACCCTTAAAGACATACTTGAATGCCGAGGACGGTCAGCAAGCAATTATTGCTTTGCTACTGGAGATGGATGCAGCACAGGGAGTGGAGAGAGCTAATGTACCCAGCATTTTGTATTTAACCCCCGAGGAAATACAATTCAACCGGGCAGTCCAGATAAGGCTGGCACACTTTGGCCCCAACCCCTGAGCAGACATTGTAGAATGGGTGCAGGCAGCAGTGATGGCACACCAGGCGCTCCGGGAAAGAGGAGCTGCAGCAGTAGAGGTACCCAATAACAATTTTGGAAGGAAACATTTTATTGAGACAGAGGGAGAGATTGACAGGTTCCTGGCTGACTTTCAAAGACAGTGTGCCCTACACCAGGTACCCGCAGACGAATGGGTCACCATCCTCAATGGGAAATTATCCGGCCGGGCTAGTGAAGCATTTTGGGCCATCCCAGCTACCTAGTGGTGAAAGATGCGCTCTTAGCCAGGTATGCGGTGACCCCAGAAGCATACAGGCGACGATTTAGGGAGACTAACAAACAGGTTGGCAACTCCTATGTAGAGTGGGCCTGCAGAGTCCACCTCACAAGAGGTGCTGCAGGTGTTCTTGCTGGAACACTGCTTCGACAGACTACCTGCCAGGGTCAGAGAGTGGGTCAGAGATAGAAAACCCTCTACCCTATATACAGATGCCCACAGAATATACAGATGCCCGCAAATTGGACAGTACAGCTACCAAGGTTCCTGCCAGAATGGAGTACCGGCCGACAGCAACCCCAGCACCAACAGCATACCAACCACCAGTACACCGCACTCCAGCAGTACCGCCAGCAAACAATTACCCGCAACCCTCCCGGTTCAATGCCCACTGAACGGTGCTAATCAAGCGCAGTCCTGGAGGAGACCAGCCAACGGGAATCAGCGGCCACCTCAACCTGCTGCTCACTGTATCGAGCAGGAGGAATTCTGGGGAATACTACACGAGGCCGACCCAGTGCAAGCAGCTCATCAGGACAACCGTCAGCAACACCGGCAGACTGTGAAGCTGAATGGCAGAGTGGTGAACGGTCTGAGAGACACAGGAGCCACTATGACACTGCTCCAAAAGAACCTAGTCTCGGAACACCAGCAAACTGGAGACACTGTGGCAGTGAGGGTAGCAGGAGGCGCCGTGTTCAGCTTACCTGTTGCCCGGGTCCATTTGGATTGGGGAGTGGGCGCTAGACATGTGGATGTGGGGGTTATGAAAGACTTGCCCGCTGATGTTCTTCTTGGGAACCATTTGGCCCCTTTGGTTTCTGCTTATGCCCCGATGGGCCCTGCTGACGTTAACCCAGTGACTACTCGTGCCCAGACCCGTGCTTCTGGAACCGGCTCGCCTGCTGATGAGACCCAGGTAAGACCCTCTTCCCCGACTGGTACCCTAGATCAGGCCCCCTTAAGCTGGGATTCCCCAGAGGAGTTTGGTAGGGAAACCCGGGCGGATCCGACACTCCAGAAGTACAGGGATAGAGCAGATGCTGGAGAGTAAGGAATTGATGGGGAGCGGTATGAGTGTCTGTCTGGGGAACAGGCTCTATATGATCCCTAAGCCTAGCCCCTCTGCCGAATCGACAGCTAGTGGTACCTGCAAAATACTGGCAGGAGATTCTGTGGATCGGGCATGATGTTCCGTTAGCTGGACATCTAGGGTCCCACCGCACAGCCTATAGGATCTCACAGAATTTCTTTTGGCCCAACTTTAACCAGGCTGTGCGGATGTATTGTAGTACGTGCGACACATGTCAATGGGTAGGAAAGCGGGGGGACCACCCTAAGGCTAGGTTATTATCGATGCCTATTATAGGGGAGCCCTTTTCCCGCATAGCTGTTGACCTTGTGGGTCCACTGGCCAGGGCTAGTCCCTCCGGTAAGAAATATATTCTTACTGTGGTGGACTATGCCACACGCTATCCAGAGGCAGTAGCACTGTCTAATATAGAGGCAGAGATGGTTGCTGATGCCCTGGTCAGAATTTTCACTAGGGTTGGGTTCCCTAAGGAGATCCTCTCCGATCAGGGAACCCAATTCACCGCTGTGCTCATTCAGCAGCTGTGGAGGATGTGTGGCATTAAACCATTGCTTAGCTCACCATACCATCCACAGACTAATGGTCTCTGCGAGCGCTTTAACGTACCCTCAAGCAGATGCTGAGGACCTTTACAGATACTTGCAGAGACTGGGAGAGGTTGTTTTCTTACAGAGAGGTGCCCCAGGAATCTACTGGGTTCTCCCCCTTTGAGTTGCTCTATGGGAGAAGGTTTCTCAGACCCCTAGATCTCATTAGGGGCCACTGGGAGGGGAGACGGAGCAGGAGGGGATCCCCATAGTGCCAGATGTCCTGGAACTCCGGGACCGCATGGAGAAAGTGTCCCTGATGGTAAGGGAGAATCTCCAGGCGGCCCAGGGGAGACAGAAGAGGTGGTACAATCAGGGTGCCCGACAGCGGGTCTTCCAGGTTGGGCAGAAGGTATTAGTGCTCAAACCTGTGAAGGCAAACAAGATGCAAGTATCTTGGCAGGGCCCGTACCGAGTAGTAGCGCAGATCTGCGATACTACTTACTTTATAGCCAGCTGTACAGATGAAAGGGTTCAGAGATCCTTTCATGTGAACATGCTGAAGGAGTACCAGGAGAGACCTGAGAATATTGCAGCAGTATGTGCCCCGGCTGCAGATGATCCTGAGAATTTACCCCTTCCCGATTTGTTAGAAAGGGACCCCCAGACTGACCTCACTACCCTTGTACAACTAGGGGACAGGTTAAACCCCACAGAAAGGGTACAGGCGAAGCAGTTGTTATGGGAGAAGCAGGCGACGTTCTCCCAGGAGCCAGGTTATACTACCCTAGCTGTACATAAGGTTGAGACCCCTGGACAGACCCACTTACGACAGCCGCCATATCGTATCCCTGAAGCAGTCCGAGAAGGAATGCGGAAGGAGATACAGGAGATTACCCAGCTTGGGGTCATCGAGCCCTCCGACAGCCCTTGGGCCTCGCCTGTAGTCCTGGTGCCCAAGAAGGACGGGACCACCCGGTTCTGTGTGGACTACAGGCGACTCAATGAGCGGACCACCACTGACGCCTACCCGATGCCCCGGGTAGACGAATTACTGGATCGTATTGCCAGGGGATGCTATCCCCAAGTCGGCATTCGTCACCCCATTTGGCCTGTACCAATTTAAGGTCATGCCTTTTGGGATGAAGAATGCCCCGGCTACCTTCCAACGGATGGTGGATAGACTCCTGGATGGCTTCCAAGAATTTGCCTGTGCATACTTGGACGACATTGCGATTTACAGTGGGTCCTGGGAGGAACACCTGGTTCATGTAGGGGTGGTACTGGATAAGATTTGGGCCGCTGGCCTGACATTGAAGCCAGAAAAGTGTCATCTAGGTAAGGCTGAAGTACAGTACCTGGGTCACAGAGTGGGATGTGGGAGCCAGAGACCAGAACCAGCCAAGGTCGAGGCAGTGGCTAACTGGCCTCATACCTACCACTAAGACCCAGGTATTGGCCTTCTTGGGTACGGCAGGGTACTACCGACGTTTTGCCCCTGACTACAGCACTATTGCTAAGCCCCTGACAGACCTGACGAAGAAGAACTTGCCTAAGCAGGTCCTGTGGTCTCCGGCTTGTGAAGCTGCATTCCAGGCACTGAAACAGGCGTTCCAGGCACTGAAACAGTCTTGGCTGCCCCCCTAACAAACGCTTTCTCGTTCACACAGATGCTTCCATGTATGGACTGGGGGCTGTGCTGAGCCAAGTCGGGGAAGATGGAGGAGAGCACCCTGTCGCATATCTCAGCCGAAAGTTGTTACCCAGAGAAGTGAGTTATGCAGCAGTGGAGGAAGAGTTTTTGGCCTTGGTCTGGGCATTGAAGAAGTTAAGTCCCTACTTATACGGGCAAGAGTTTTCTCTTGTGACTGACCATAACCCACTCGTCTGGCTTAAGCGGGTCTCAGGGGACAACGGTAGACTGCTGAGGTGGAGTTTCGCAGTAAGGCCTTACAATTTCACTATCAGCTACAGACCCGGTAAGCAGAACGGGAATGCAGATGGGTTATCCCGGCAAACTGACATCTCCACCACCTCCTAGTCCGGTCATCCCCAAGTTGACCCGCCAAAGGGTCAAGCTGGGTCTGCCAGAGTGTCCCACAAGGAGGGAGCCGTGTGACAGAACCATCTGTCTGTCTATTGTGGTGGATTCATCTATTTCTGCCCATTCGTGTAAATGGCTGTTTCTATAGCCCAGCCATACGAATGACTCTTTTTTACCGAACAAATCTACCGAACGGATGGCCACCCAGGATAGAAGTGTGCTGCTGGTTAACCTCTTGATCCCAATTAGAACGTTGTGGTTAACACCGGCCGTTCGGGAGTTTTACATCACATGAAAAGACTTTACCCAGATAGCCTTCCCATGGAGTCAATCACATACCGAAAGACTGTAAGGACTTTGACATCATGGCAATAGAACTATGTGTGTGGGATCTGAGCGCTATTCGCCAATAATATGCCCTCAGATCCAGGCTATCTGGGGATATGTGATACGAATGTGAAATGTTCGGTAGTTGTGAAGTTATATGTTTTTATGTATTTTCTGGTATTTTATTTAAGATGGCGATTTGTCCTTGTCCTGGAGATAATTGAATTACTTCCCAATTATCTCCAGGGCAGAGGGGAGGAAACCATACTGCATTGTGGGAAAAGCTTGTGACTGTATGTCTGTTATGTCCTCATGTCCATCTGTAAATTCCAGTCTCCCATTTGGTCCCCTAGGGGAGTGTCCACCAAGTGGGAGACCTGCATAAATACGGGCGGGTAGCCCACAGTAAAGCCAGATCCTGTTTGACCCTCAATGTGGAGCTTTTGTCTCATTATTGGGGGGATTTCTTATTGATGCCTAGAGACAGATTATTGGAACCGAAAGCAGCTTGGTGGATATCTTTGTTCGGCGATTAGCGGCGGTTCGTGGATTTCTGTTCGGGAGTTTGGAGTCTTTCACGGATCCCGGTCGGAGATTACTGCTCCCCTGATGGTGGTTCGTATACTGCAGTCTATGCGAATGGAGTTACTGATATTGCGAAAGGGGAAGGTTAACTAAACGGCGGTTTCCCTTAAAGACACCAGGGGTGTCTTAACACTGACAATTTTAGTTGCTTGGATGGCGGCAAAATATGACAAAAAATGGACAATGCCATACAAGCTATTATTAACTTTGGAAAGTCAGCTTGGTTAAGCAAAACTGACATCACAAATGCTTTTAAACTACTACCAATTCATAAATCACTCTGGCATCTGAATGGCGTTAAGTGGGAGAATAAATACTATTTCGCGACTGTACTGACTTTTGGCTCCGAAAGTAGCCCAAAAATCTTCGATATTTTCGCAGAAACCTTGAACTGGCTCTTACTTAACAAAAGCAGATGTCCAGTAGTGGTTCACTATCTTTATGATTTTCTTTCCATTGAACCACACTACTACACACCATACAGTCTACATTACACACTTTATTTAATTAAGAACCTGGGAGGAGTTCCCGTAGCCCCAGACAAAACAGAAGGTCCCAGCACCAAAATAACTTTCCTGAGTATCACGCTAAATTCAGTATCCATGCAAGCTAGCCTACCTCAGGAAAAGGTAGACAGGATTTTAATCTTTATTGAAGTCTGTGCCACTCATTGGTCTTGCACCAGGAAGGAATTACACTCACTTTTCATGGGTTATAGTATGGGCACAGGGCTCCCTCCTGTCACTCCCTCCCTGTAGCATGGCCGAGACCTCTATTGGTCCACGGGTACAGGAAACAAAAGCTCCCTGTACCCGCGGACTATGATACAGGGCTCAGCCACGCTACAACTGAGGTAGGGGGGGAGGGGAACATGAAATTGGGAAGGGGGGGAGAAAGAGAGTGACAAGTGGGGGGGAGAAAGAGAGTGACAAGTGGGGGGGGAGAGAGATTGACATCCATCACACACACATAATCACACACAATGCAACCCTTGCACACAGAAAAACACACAATGCATTACACACACAAAAACACATACACAAGCAATGCAACCCTTACACATAATGCATCCCTTACACACAGAGAAACACACAATGCATTCATTACACACACTCATGCATCCCTTACAGACACACACACTGCATCCCGTACATACACAGAAACACACCTTGCAGCCCTTACACATACAAACACAGATTCACACAATGTATTCCTTACACACATATCAGGACATCCCCTACACACTCCACCCCCTGTGAACAAACTCATTGGTGGAACATGAAGATGGACCCTGGGACCCAGACCTTGAGCTGTGTAAAGGGCCCCCCAAAAAATGGAGCTGCTTCCCATTCTCCCAGAACATTGATTTTGTGACCACAGTAACAAACAGCCTCCATAGATCCTGTTCTACACCAGACCAGTGGAGCCAGACTGCAGCTAGAGCCCATCATCATCCTCATCTGGTTGTAAGAAGGCAATCTAGTATATTATTCGTGGCACTAATCTCTAATTTACCTCACATTAAAGAAACACTATAGTCCCCAGAACCACTGCAGCTTAATGTGTCTGGTGTCTATAGCCTGTCCCTGCAGGCCTTTTAATGTAAACACGGCGGCACTGCAGCACTGACTGCAGCACTGGCATTAGTTAACATGGCAGATCATATGGGTGGGGCATTGTGATGTCACATGGGGGGGCGGCAAACTTTACTTTGCCTAGGGCGGCACAAATCCTTGCACCGGCCCTGTATGGGCAGGTGTATGTTATGGACAATGAACACAGGTGCATTTTATTGATGGCATTTTGAATGCACAGAGATACCGCGACGAGATCCTGAGGCTCGTTGTTGTTCCATACACGACCATCACCACATGTTGCAGCATGATAATGTACGGCCTCATGATGCAAGGATCTGTACACAATCCTGGAAGCTGAAAACATCCCAGTTCTTGCATGGCCAGCATACTCAATGGACATATCACCCGTGTTTGAGGTGCTCTGGATCGGCGTATATGACAGCGTGTTCCAGGGCCTGCCAATATCCAGCAACTTCGCACAGCCATTGAAGAGGAGTGGACCAACATTCCACAGGCCACAATCAACAACCTCATCAACTCTATGTGAAGAAGATGTGTTGCACTGAGTGAGGCAAGTGGTCACACCAGATACTGACTGATGGACCCCCAGACCCCTCCAATACAGACCCCTCCAATACAATAAAACTGCACAATATTATGGCCTACCTAAGGCACACCTAAGGCAATAATCATGCTGTCTAACCAGCATCTTGATATGCCACATCTGTGAGGTGGATGAATGATCTTGGCAAAGGAGAAGTGCTTTGAGAGTACTAGGCCTTTTGTGTACATAGAAAAATTCTTAGATCTTTGGGTTCAGCTCATGAAAAATGGGGGCAAAATCAAAAGTGTTGCATTTATAATTTTGCTCAGTGTATATATGTGTATATGTATGTGTGTGTGTGTGTGTGTGTGTGTGTGTGTGTGTATGTATGTATGTATATATATATATATATATATATATATACAGGGAGTGCAGAATTATTAGGCAAGTTGTATTTTTGAGGATTAATTTTATTATTGAACAACAACCATGTTCTCAATGAACCCAAAAAACTCATTAATATCAAAGCTGAATATTTTTGGAAGTAGTTTTTAGTTTGTTTTTAGTTATAGCTATGTTAGGGGGATATCTGTGTGTGCAGGTGACTATTACTGTGCATAATTATTAGGCAACTTAACAAAAAACAAATATATACCCATTTCAATTATTTATTATTACCAGTGAAACCAATATAACATCTCAACATTCACAAATATACATTTCTGACATTCAAAAACAAAACAAAAACAAATCAGTGACCAATATAGCCACCTTTCTTTGCAAGGACACTCAAAAGCCTGCCATCCATGGATTCTGTCAGTGTTTTGATCTGTTCACCATCAACATTGCGTGCAGCAGCAACCACAGCCTCCCAGACACTGTTCAGAGAGGTGTACTGTTTTCCCTCCTTGTAAATCTCACATTTGATGATGGACCACAGGTTCTCAATGGGGTTCAGATCAGGTGAACAAGGAGGCCATGTCATTAGATTTTCTTCTTTTATACCCTTTCTTGCCAGCCACGCTGTGGAGTACTTGGACGCGTGTGATGGAGCATTGTCCTGCATGAAAATCATGTTTTTCTTGAAGGATGCAGACTTCTTCCTGTAGTCTGGGAGTTGAGCTTGACTCCATCCTCAACCCGAAAAGGCCCCACAAGCTCATCTTTGATCATACCAGCCCAAACCAATACTCCACATCCACCTTGCTGGCGTCTGAGTCGGACTGGAGCTCTCTGCCCTTTACCAATCCAGCCACGGGCCCATCCATCTGGCCCATCAAGACTCACTCTCATTTCATCAGTCCATAAAACCTTAGAAAAATCAGTCTTGAGATATTTCTTGGCCCAGTCTTGACGTTTCAGCTTGTGTGTCTTGTTCAGTGGTGGTCGTCTTTCAGCCTTTCTTACCTTGGCCATGTCTCTGAGTATTGCACACCTTGTGCTTTTGGGGACTCCAGTGATGTTGCAGCTCTGAAATATGGCCAAACTGGTGGCAAGTGGCATCGTGGCAGCTGCACGCTTGACTTTTTTCAGTTCATGGGCAGTTATTTTGCGCCTTGGTTTTTCCACACGCTTCTTGCGACCCTGTTGACTATTTTGAATGAAACGCTTGATTGTTCGATGATCACGCTTCAGAAGCTTTGCAATTTTAAGAGTGCTGCATCCCTCTGCAAGATATCTCACTATTTTTGACTTTTCTGAGCCTGTCAAGTCCTTCTTTTGACCCATTTTGCCAAAGGAAAGGAAGTTGCCTAATAATTATGCACACCTGATATAGGGTGTTGATGTCATTAGACCACACCCCTTCTCATGACAGAGATGCACATCACCTAATATGCTTAATTGGTAGTAGGCTTTCGAGCCTATACAGCTTGGAGTAAGACAACATGCATAAAGAGGATGATGTGGTCAAAATACTCATTTGCCTAATAATTCTGCACTCCCTGTATATATATATACCCCAATAGATGAAAAATATAGGCTGCACTCTCGGACTTGTAATTTTCAAATAAAAGTGCTTTATTCCATAGGTAAGAAAAAGCTAAGTTTTGGTCCACGCAGGGACCTTCATCAGGATCAAGTGACTCAAAACTTTTTATTGTATTGAGTCACTTGATCCTGATGAATGTCCCTGCGTGGACCGAAACGGCGAGTCACTTTATCCTGATGAAGGTCCCTGCGTGGACCGAAACTTCGATTTTCTTACTAATGGAATAAAGCACTTTTATTTGAAAATTACAAGTCCGAGAGTGCAGTCTACATTTTTCATCTGTTGGTATGCATTTAGATCCCTAGAAGGATTTGCACCCAGCAACCACACCACCGAAAAAAAGCAGTAGGTTATTTAAGCGTGAGTGCAAGGATTTACACTGTCAATATTATATATATATATATATATATATATATATATATATATATATTGTGATAAAGTGAAGGCAGATAGGCCTTTTAACCCCAGGGGAAGTACGTGTACTTTGTGTGTTGCACAACACAAAGCATTGTTTAGTTATGGGACCCTGGGGTGGAGCATTTGGAGAGAAGGGTGGGCCAATGCTCCACTCCACAGTTTAGTGGTTTTCTGGGGAGACATAGATCCAGGCCAGGGTTTTTTGGACCGTCTCCAACCCACTGCTCAGCTGCAGTTATTGAGCTATTGCAGTGTGAATAAACCCCTCCCTGCTAGGCAGGTAAAGGGGAGGGATTGCTGGCTTCCTCCCAGGAAGCAGGTAGGAGAGAGGCTTTTCTCTCCAGATAGAGAGTCAAGGAGACTAGGCACTGGGAGTGCAGAAAGGAAGCAGTCAAGGCTGGCTTGGAGCACTGGTAGTGCAGGGGGAAGCAGTCAAGGCTGGCTTGGAGCACTGGGAGTGCAGAAAGGAAAGCAGTCAGGGCAAGGCTGGCTTGGAGCACTGGGAGTGCAGAAAGGAAAGCAACAGGCTAGCTAGCAGAGTGTTGCTATCTAATAAGGTTGGTGCAATATGTTTTGTTTAGTTTAATCCTGAGAGATAGGGAACCTAATGTCAGTTAGTGCTCAGACGAGCTAGGTTTTTGTTTATAGGGTTTTGTGTTACATTTATGTTTTAATTTACTGCTGTATCCTGTGTGGATTTACAAATAAAGTGCCTGTAGTATATGCAAGGACTGTGCCTGTTGTTTACCCTAGAGGACCGTGCTACCTGCTGACAAGGATCACAATATATATATATATATATATATACATATATATATATATAGATAGTGGGCACTAGTAGGTCTTAATTAATTGAAGAAAATAGTTCTTTATTTTTTATGTAGCGTCAACCTGCTTTCAATCCTTTCTCAAGACTTTTGAGAAAGGATCAAAAGCATTGAAAGCAGGCCCGAAATGTTGACGCTACAAATAAAAAACAACCCACGGAGGACAATGGGGGATTCTTCAGTTCCATCACCCTGTCATAAATTTACGACGGCTGAACAGCTTCATTGTCTACAGGCACTTCAAAGTGGAAGGCATTCACCTCCTTCGAGACGTTATTCATCAGTTTACCCGTCTCAATCTAAAAGATTCAAATCTGTCTGTTCTGATGGATCTAGAAAACAGACAAAGTTTTCTCTGAAAAGGCCAATCCTACCAATTCACATGCCTTCCTTTCGGCCTCAGCTCAGCCCTCTGGTGCTTCACCAAGCTATTGAAGCTGATCACGGCACATCGATGAGCCAAAAGCATACGCTGCCTTATTTATCTAGACAATCTCTTACTACTCTGCAGCAGCAGCATCTCCAGACTGCGATCTCAGGCGCACTTTACAATCTCCTTACTCGAGTCCTTAGTTTCCGTGGTCAATCGAGAGAAATAAGCTCTCTCTCCATCCCATGTGGTTCAGTTCCTGGGTTTCAAAATAGACGCTTCCAAGTGTGTCCTCTGTCTCCCTCAATTAAAAATCTCAACAATTTGGAAGGAACTCCACAGAACTTTACATCTAGACTACATTCTCATTCGCACACTGGCATGAATTGTGGGGTTGCTCTCCGCCTCCATACAGGGAATTTACCCAGGACCACTACATTACCGAGCCATGCACCGCTTAAAAGCTCAGTTTCTATGGATCCAATCCTCATACGACCAGATAGTCCCCCTAACATCAGACATCAAAGAAGAACTGCAATGGTGGTTCCTCCACATGTCTGCGTGGAACGACGCCAAAGCAATCTTCGGTCCTACTCTAGACTTAATGGTGGAGTCAGAAGCAAATCTCTGAGGATGGGGTACCTCCGGCCCATCAACTTGCACCGGAGGTCCTTGGACATCATCAAAAAAGAGTTGACCACTCAAACTCTCTTAGATTAGACACCTAGAGATCTAGACAATAAAGCAAATGCAGAACCACCGAATACACGACAGAACATAAAGAACCAAGGACTAACCACCATACCAGGCAGGACCCCGTTAGACCCTCACATCCCGCACCCCCCACAACTCCCTAACCCTCCGACTAGTTAATAACCCTCAGTTGCTCCCTAACCTCCTATAAGGTTTTAGATAGAGACAACAGCACCATCTGACTGGATTTAAACCAAGATCATCCAGCAAAACCAATGTTAACTGCAACAAGAACTGTACTAGAACTAAAGTAGTGGTAGAGGTATATGCATAGGCACATGATGTTATGAAACCCTTACTTGTAACAACTAAATGCTTCCCTCTTATTTTCTGTACCCCATAACCTTGTCTTTACGAAATAAAGAAAAACTGAAATAAAAAAAGGAATATCTACCAGGAGAGGTGATTCTCAGATTGGTTCTCCAGACATTGGAGAGATGTCAGCTACTGGCAATAGCCTGCAGTCTGCGGATTGGTTTCGGAACACACTTTTAGTCATTTCTATTTCCGTCCGACCACTCATAATTCACTAGCCTTTTTGTCTTAGCCTTAAAACAGCAAAATGTGAAGCCTCTTGTCATGTGATAAAATTGTAGATAATGCCAGTTTTAGTGTATCTATAATCTTAATTTTATTAATTACAGGAGGCAAATATTTTCCCACGTGTTCTTTTCCCCAACCTAGTTTTTATTTTCCTTTCAGGTAAGTCTTGAGGACATAATAAGTATGTTTTTTCTATAGCATTATTTTTTCTCATGGTTGTTTCATTGGATTACTGTTAACACTGGTTTTTTTAAGTTGGCTTATATAGTTGTTTTATACTTTTTTTACATTATTTACTGGTTTTGATCCAGGTTTACATGCCTTTAGTAGTCCAATTCACACGATTAATCCTTGTTTTCGACTCTGTTCTCTTGTTTCAGTTTAAAATTTCCTCCAGATGCCAATCTTAGAATCATCTCTTCTGGTCTTGGATTTGTTCCATTGATTATTCTGTTATTGGCTATTATTATTCCTTATTGTTTTGCAGCTAGAAAGAGGAGGGGACTGCTGTGCTGGAGAACAGTCTTATTGAATGTTTCTTGTTTCTGATTGGTTCTCTCTGTTGCTATGTTAAATTGTGCTGTTGTGGAGCTTAAGTAACGTGAGACTTAAGCAAAATATTTGCCTCCTGTCATTAATAAAATTATAGCTTATAGTTTTATAACAATTATAGGTACACTAAAGCTAGCATAATCTACAATTTCAATCAATAGTTGTCGCTTATACTAACATTCCATTCCTACTAATATGTGTGCGCTATGTGCCCACACTGCCTCCTGAGCAGTAAAGTATTGTTTACCAATCAATTTTCCATTCATTTTAGCTCTCTCTGCTGCTCCAACCCTGAAATTTTTTCCATCTTACTCAACATTTATTTTGGGAGAAACTGTTGTCTTGGAATGCATGGCTCCACCTCCAATTCTTGTTACATTATATCGAATGTACAAGGAAGGAAAGGAAATAATTGATTCTCCAAATTCTCCATCTGGGAAGCTCACTCTCCATAATGTCACCAAGGATGACCAAGGCACATATACTTGTATGTATTGGAGTGCCAACAGCCTAAGAGAAATACCATCTACACAGAGCAGAACACGAGAGCTCCATGTAATAGGTGAGGAAGGTTTGTGGGTGTGACTTTATAACTACATAAGTTGGTGTTGCGTTAGACAACTCCAGACCATGGCTGAGAATATCTTCATTGTAAGGTTTCAGCTTCACTGGTTTTCCTTTAGACTTGTCTTGATTGACCTTAATGATTTACCTTAATGTATTGGATTGTTGGGGTTATCACTAAAACCCATCCAGATTCATACATGGCTATTCCGATTGCAAAATCTGGACATTATTTACACCATCTAACAATGTTCAGATTTCGGCCAGACCAAAAGTTACCCAGTTGCTTCAAATCCAGACCCAGATTTTTTTTTAAATGACATGATTAAAATCACTGTTTGAAGGTCAATTATGTGGTATCTGGTCAGCGCTTGCTAGTTAACTAAATCATTAAAAAAGTTTTAAAAAAATAAATAAATCCTATGAAGTCAAAAACACCCCATAAAGTTTAAAACCTCCCTTGTCCCCACTTGCCATGCAGCAGGGGGCATGTTTGCTAAACCATTAAAAATAGGCTGGACAGAGGTGGAGGCCTTAACTGTAATATTAAAGAACTGAGGGCCTGTTGTCCTCAGCTTGTCCCCACTCATTGGCAGTAAGTGGGCGCAATATTTATAACTTAAATAGGGGACTGACAGAGGACTGACCTTCATAGGCTAGCCACCATATAATCTACCCTCACATTGCTGAGGGCTATTTAAAGGAACACTCCAAACCTCTAAAGCATATTAGCTCTTTTTTTCATTTTACAAGACATGCAGATATCAACAGAAATTGTCACTTTTATAAATGAATCTGGTAACATCCCCTGGCTTTGAAGCAGCAAAAAGGTCCTGTTATTTCCTGATTTATTTAGCTCTATGGAGCTAAACTCAAGAGACAGGCAATTGTCCAGAGCACCTTCTTTGCAAAGACTTCTAATTGAGCTGTATTACAAAGTCTGTGGACAGCAACAGAATGTCTGAGCTGGGGAAGAAAGGGAGGATTTGAAAAGGCTTCAGACAAGAGAACTTCAGCATTTGCAAGCTGTTTTCATTAAACAAAAAAGTATAAATAAATTCATGAATGTGTTATTGAGGTATATCTACTAAATAGTGATTTTATTTTTTATATTTGGACAGAGGAGTGTCCCAGCAGGCAAATTGTACTTACAATGATAATTCACTTGAATAAAAGCTTGTAAGTTGTTATGTTATATGTTTTATATAATTATCCCCTATAAAAACATAACAATGTCACACTTTCTGTTTCAGCTCCGTTACTTCCACCTTTGCTGTCTTTAGATCCTCCAAATGGTCGGGTTTGGGATGGGGGAAATGTGACCCTAATCTGTACCATACTTACTCCTGAGGAAAGCACCTTGTATGATTTTCACTTTCTGAATGAAAAGCAGGAAATGAGTGTGTTCGCAAACAAAACAGAGACGAGAAAGACTTTAACCATTATGGTTTGGAGAAGTAATAACACTTCTGAGTCCAAGTACTTTTGTCAGTACACCGCAAACATCAAAGGGCGTTTGATACTCTCACCGAAAAGTTCACATGCTGAAATAACTGTGACAAGTATGTAGCATGTACTGTAGTCTTATGTTTGTTTATTTGCTTCTCATTACCAAGTTTGAGAGTAGCAGTTAGGCACTTAAATATTTAAGAATTGATCAGCTTGCAATATTCCTGTGCAAGACAACCACAGTATAAAGCAATGTATCATAAAAGAAACTGATGGATGTTGAAGGCATGAAGATAAATGGTCCAATTTGACTAGTTTGACTATGTATAAAGGAAGCTGTCATTTTGAGGGAAGAGACATTTTGAGGGAACAAGAAATAAATGGCATTTGGCAGAAACCTAGAAGATATAGTTAGTAATATTACTATTCCAGCATCTCCCTAATTGTCTAATTGTTTAATTTTTGTGTTTACTCCTTAGCTGGCTCAGTGCTCTGGATTATCGTGGTTGGTATTGTTGCTGGGATTGTTGTACTGATAATAATGATTGTTCTTCTCTGCTGGGTTTTGACTGGCACGAAAGGTAAGATCTATATATATATATATATGACTACCATAGTTTTCTTGGCACATATTTCATCCTGCTGTTGATTGATAAATGAAAAATGTGTGTATATATGTATGTGTAATGTTTAGCATTTGAGAGTTTTGCTCTCTTCTGAAGAATAACGTGAGGAAGTTGGGAAAACTTTTAACTCCTTTATGTGGTTACAGAGTACTATGCTGTCCTGTACTTTGTAGGCTTAAGAGCGTCAAAGTACACCTTAACAGTTTGCAGCTCCTGCCACAAATCAGCAAGGCCTTCTGCAGCAAATCTAGCCCTTCTGGGTAATGTGCTGGTGATCACATGGCCAGATCAGAAGTTTGAATTATTCCTCGGTTGTCAGATACTCCCCCAAACTGGAAAATAAAGTAAAATACTATACATAGAAAAAAATAAAAATGATATATGTGTAATTTCATTCTACCTGTATTTTGATATTAATGTATTGTGTATATGTGTGTGTGTGTGTATATATATATATATGTATATATATATATATGTATATATATATATATGTATATATATATATATATATATATATATATATATATATATATAACAGCAGGGATAGTCAACCTGGTCCCTACTGCACACTAGTGGTAGTTTGGGATTTCAGGCGGACAGTGGTGGGTTCTGTAGAAAATGGCTGGTGGGCCTCGATGGCCATTGGGCAAGGCTGGCAGGCTTTATCTCCCCTGCCAGCCCATGCAGAGCCAGCCTTGCTGTGAGCCCTCTCGGGCTGTTGAGGAGATCAAAGATCTCCCTCACCGGCAGGCTGATATTTAGTTCCAGCAGAGGAAGCGAAGGGCCTGTGAGGCTTTGTGTACCTCCTGCGAGCAGGCTGGTTGGAGCACTGTCTCGTATTACCATGGCAGTGCTCTTATTTAGTGCTGCACATGCAGGAGAGTCAGCCTGCAACCGGAGAAGTTTCAGGCTAATGTGAACATGTCACCACTGGACCACCAGGGCTTGCAGCACTATGTTCCTCCTCCCTGGTAAAAGGTAAGAAGAAGGGAGGGTGACACATTAAGATAGGTTTTCAAATCTCACCCACCTACACACAGCATAGACCCTATTCAACCCTCACACACTACACTTTTCACACACAGTACACCCCTCACACACACTGCCCCCATACACAATCCACCCCTAACACACACTGGCCTCTCACACACACAGAGCACCCCTTGCCCACACACATCACCTCTAACACACACACACAGCACCTTTCATGCACACACTGTCCCCCTCACACACGCACACTGCCCCCTCTCCCACACACACACACATACAGCATCCCTTCACACATACAGCACCACTCACACACACAACATTTCGCACACAAACATCACCCTTTACTCACACACCGCACACTTCATTCGCCCACACTGCACTCATTACACACATAGCACCCTCCACACACACAAATCACACAGACACATTGCCCCCTCACACACACAGCATTCTTCATGCACACACTACCCCCACGCACGCAAACACTTCCCCCCTCACACATGCACACTCCCCCCTCACACACACAGCACCAATCACACATATCAGTTACCTACCTACCTTATCCTATCACCCTCCTTTCCCTCTGATGTATGTCAAAGGGTATAGCATTCTGCTTTCTGTCTAACTTTGTATGTTCACCTTTGACTTGTTACTCGGATTTTACCTCACTTAGACAAGTAGGCTGCGTCATACCCTATTCTATCTAGCTGGCCTATCCATCCCTGTGCTCTGGTGGGGAAAATCAGGTCCTTATCAATATAGGAAATGTTTGTCAGTGTACTATTGTCTATATGTTGGTGATCAGGGAGGATGTCCCGCTACATGTGACCTTTGCCAAGTCTGCTTCTACGCTTTCATGTTCTGTTGGTATGTGTGATGTTCTGTTGTGTTAATGAAGTGTGTGTGTTGTGTCTTGTCCCTTGCTGGTGGTTCGGTGTGTGAGCACCCGTGTTGTGCCTTACATTATCCATGTCAGGGTTCCTTTTGTGTGTCTAGGTAAGGTTGGGGTGGGAGGGGGCGGGGTGAATGAGGTGAGGTGGGGTGGTCCGCACTACGAGGGGCCCGCACCCGTTTTCGCGCCTACCCCGGGTCCGGGGGTATCCCCCCCGTGAGTATCGAGCGATGTACATGAACCACGGTCTCCATAATTCTACATGCTTGAGTTCCCTTCCCGTCAGGGAGGCATGGAGTGCCTCCGCACTCTGTATGTCTTCCACCCGTTGTATCCACTCCGTCTTCGTCGGGATGTTTTTTTTTTTTTTTTACAGTTAGCCGGGATGGACGCCTTGGCTGCGTTCAGTAAGTGTCGAATGATTGATTGTTTTATAGTTCGAGATTGTTTGCTGAGAGATGTGCAATAGGGCTAGTTCTGCTGACCAGTCCGGACTATCTCCCAGCACCAGGGTCACCTCTGTTTTCACCATGTCCCAGTACGGGAGTATGTCTCGGCATTCCCACCACAGGTGTATCAGTGTGCCTCTTTCCTCCTGACATCTCCAACACGTCGGTGGTGCCATCGGGAATATTCAATGGATCACAGTAGGCGTTCTATACCAAGATGAAATCAGTTTGTAGCCGACCTCTTGGTAGTAGGAGCTCATGGAGCTTTAGGAGCTCATGGAGCTCTTGAAGGTGGCCACGGCTGTCTGGTCATTCATGATTAGTTGCTGGTATATTGCGGAAACCGCATGCTCTACTGTGGTGCCTCGTTTGCACAAGCCCTCGAACCATGTCAGTTCCCTATGTAGACATTCTCTGTGTGTAAGCGTTGTGTAATAGTGTTTCAGCTGCATATGTCTGAGGGTGGTCATGAGGGTCCATGGTTTCACCTCCAGGAGTGTGTCCAGATCTCGAAGTCCGTTGGTGCTTAGGGCCCGGTATATGGGTATATAGTCCCCTTCACCCAGGAATCCCCACGCTCTGGCCGGCAGACCGCCCCCAATTTTGCTGTTAAGCATCACCAGGAGGAGTGGGCTAGGTGTAGGTAATATGTGGAAAAGCCATCCGGTCACAGGGATTGGCCGGTTTTGGCGCCCTTTAGGGCGAAGGCTAGCTCCTCCGTGCTAATAGGTGCGTCAAGGGCCGCAGCTGAGTTGGAATCGACTACCTCCGTGATGTTGGTGTTGAGGTAGTCGGTCAGCAGGGTCTGGTTGTGCTGCCTTCATTCGTGGTTGAAGGTTGTACAGGGATTGGTAGAAGTTTTTCAATTCATCTGCTAGGGAGAGACCGCGCCCGATGTAAGGCGTAAGCTGCGGATTTGTGTTCGTGGACTAATGCCCTTGAGGAGTCAGGCTAGGTACTTACCCCCCTTGTTGGCATGGGCGTAAAAGAAGCCCCTCGTGCTCTGTAGAGTACAAAGGTGCCTCCTCACTATGAGGTCTCTCAATGCTCGTCTGGCCGCCATCAGCTCACCGTAGATTGCGTTGAGGTGATGCAGTTTGTGTTGTAACTCTAGAATTGATATGGTCTCATAAAGTTTTGCCATTTTTCGGGTGGCCGCTTTTTTTTCTGAGACGCTATCCGGATGAGCGTACCGCGGATTACACTCTTGTGAGCTTCCCACAGAGTTATGGGGGACGTTCCTTCCTTGTCATTTTTGCTGAAGTAGAGGTCCAGGGCTTTTCCAATTTGTTCCCTGTTTACCGGGTCTAGGAGCAGCGCTTCATTCAGTCGCCAGGTCCAAGTGGAGGGGCGGAACAGAGGTGACTCTAAGTCTATCCTAACTGGGCTGTGGTCTGACCAGGTTGCCGGTTCGATGGTTGCTTTGATTAGGCAGGAGAGGCCCTCTTGTTTGACAAAGAGGTAGTCAATTTGTGCGTAATGGTCGTGGAGAGCAGAGTAATGTGTAAAATATTTACTGGATGGGTCGACCAGGCCCAGATTATTCAAGGAGTTCTGAATGGATCGAATGTTGCATCGCGGTATACAGCTATGGCCTGAGGACGAGTCCAGTGTCGGGTCCAAGGGGGGTTGAAGTCCCCCCCTACCAACAATGTGCCTTCCGTGAAGTCTCGTAATTTGGTCAGTGTTCCTTTCAGGAATGTGGCTTGGTGTCTATTGGTGACATAGATCGTAGCAAATGTGTATATTTTATCCGCCATAATGCCCTTCAGGAAGAGGAAACACCACTGTGCGTCTTGGTGTCCTATCCCCTGCTGTAGTAACATTCCACCTGTGGTGTTCAGGTGTTAGAATTGTGTGGCTATTATCGTAGGTATGCTAACATGTTGCAATACAATACCGGTGTATAGCACATTCTGAGGTCAAACCGTGTGGGGTAGTAGGGGACGAGGCCCGATGGAGGTCTTTGGGTCCTCCCTGCTCGTCCTGTGAACAGTGGCCATGAGTTCCAAAGCGTTCAGAGAGAGTTCGGGGATTGATGTTGCACATGTAGGGGGATACCCGGTTTGCTCTTCACGTGTGTTGTAGTGTTGCCGTATCAACACACGACAACGCTCTGATCAGCATTCTCTTGGGAGGAACTTCCTCCCAGCTCCCTCCTCCCTCTATCATGGACGAACGGCCTCTAGGTCCGGAAAGGAAGATCATTGATCTCCTCACCGGTCCAAAAGGAACTGAGCAGGACCGGCTCTCCAAGGATCTCCCCTGTCGGCCACCGGCACATGGGCAATGCTGTGGGGCCCCGATACTTGTGAGGCCTCCGGGCAAGTGCCCAGGCAAGTTCAATGCGATGGCGGCGCAGCTCAGGGGATACTACATTTTCCTGGAATGAGGGTGTCTGGGACCTAGGACAGACTTTCAAAATGTCGGACTGTTCCGGGCAATCCGGGACACTTGGGCATCCTCACACACACTGCCCCCTCACACACACTTCACCATTAATAACTAAAAATAATAACTTAAAAAACAAGTGTAAAGTCAGAGTCCACACTCCTTCCTTTCGGCAATTCAATAATATTTATTTATTAAGAGGCTAATCAAACAAATAAACAATACATATACATTTATAGGCTAGTATATGTTGCTACCAAAATTAATCATTGATTAAATGAAAAGTGAAACAGGCATAGACATGTGATACAGTTAACATTCCATTGATCATCAGCTGAGAGTAAGACAGTATGTATAGTGGGGAAAGGGAATAGAGAGAGAGGTAAGGAGAGGGAAATTCAAAAAGAGAGATAATGTGCTATTCACAGGGCTTTCAACAGGTTAGTCCTTCCTTCTGCTGGACACACCTCTCCCAGCCAATTCCTATGGATCTAATAGAACAAGAGTTCCTCTTGGGGTAAGTGAGATTGCACTGGAAGGGAATGGAGGAGGAGTTTATCAACAATCCAACTGGTTTTGCCTGGTGAAAGGCCATGTGCTTCACAGAGGACTTCATTATTGTGCCAAGGGATAGAATGGGACTTAAATTCCTGTATTAGAACACCATAACACTTCATTGGCATACAGTGTAGTTGTTAATCAGTCCACCCACTTATTACAAACACAGCACCCTTCACACACACACACAGCACCTCACTGACACATATTAAAAAAAAAAGTAGAATAGAAAATGGAAAAAAAGGAAAACATTTGATAAATAAGTATATATTAAAAAAAACACCTTTCTAATAAATAAATAAAAATAAATACAAATCGTACTTGCGTTATAAAATTAATTACTGCAGCACTGGTGGGCAGTAAAGGGAATTTTGCCATAAACAAAGATACAAAAGTGGGCGGTAAGTATTAAAAGGTTGACTACACCTGGTGTACAGGAATGAGACATCTGAGATCTCTGTCCAGAAGAAGATACTGCATAGATAGATAGATAATCTCAAAATACTCTTAGAATTAAATTATATTTTATTATATATATTTGCATAATTATATGATTCTATTAATTGTAATTTGAGGGACCTGTCTGTCAACCCAAAATTAAAGTGCAGCCCCTGTATTTAACCTGTGTATAACTTTCCAAACAAGAAAACCTTTACATGAGGAGTCTGTTGTACTAGGAAAACTTCACTGAACACAAATTAGTGTTTCAAAACAGTAAAACGTATTATGTTGATGATATCATCAGCAAAAAATGCAGTTTGTGACTAAGTTGATACTAAAAGAGACTGGATATTCCCCATTTTGAATACCATGGTTTGTCTACTTTTTCAAATGTTATGCCCTGATGGGGTTAATTTTATTCCTGGGCTACCATGCAGTCTTAAAGGCAACATAGTCTCAGCAAACCAATCTGTCAAATTTCAATGTGTATAAACTGGAGAGGGAAAAGCCCTATATATGCTCCTGCAAGTTTCCAAAACCTCATTAAACCGTACATGTGGGTACTGTTGTACTCATGAGACATCACTGAACACAAATATGTATATTTTATTGCAGTAAAAGCTAACAGTATTATGACATTCAAAGTTCAAATGCCATGTAGAACTAAGAAAATAGCAAAATGTCTTAAAGGAACACTATAGGGTCAGGAATACAAATGTGTATTCCTGACCCTATAGTGTAAAAAAACAAAACATCTAGCCTCCTGTCCCCCCCCCCCCTTATCCCTCTAAACATAGTAATATCTTACATTTATTCCAGTCTGCTGCTGCTGCTGGCTCTGCCCCTGATCTTCCTGCTTAGCTGACTTAATCAGTAGTGATGATCTGAGACAATCACAATGCTTTCTAATTGGGTTGGCTGAGACTGCCAAGAAGGCAGATCAGGGGCAGAGCCAGCACAAGCCAAACACAGCTCTGGCCAATCAGCATCACCTCATAGAGGTGCATTGAATCAATGAATCTCTATGAGGAAAGTCCAACACTGCTCCAGGAAGCACCTCTAGTAGTCATCTGAGGAGTGGGCAGTGGCAGTATCCCTATGCTGTAATTAAAACACTGCATGAGCTCTGAAAGAACTGTGTTTACTACAAAAAGCCTGAAGGGACTGATTATACTCACCTGAACAAATAAGTTGTAGTTGTTCTGGTAACCCTATCCCTATGTCCCTATAATTTCTCAATTTTTTTTAGATGTTATCTATTATATTTTATGAGATTATATATATATATATATATATATATATATATATATATATATATATATATATATATATATACACACACACACACACACACACACATACACACACACATACATATATATATATATATATATATATATATATATATATATATATATATATATATATATATATATATATATATATATATATATTGCATCAGGTTACCCTACTATGCAATATTATGTCTCTTTATTTCAGAATTTCTGAGAATTGGGTATAGAGGCAACAATTTACAAAAATGAATGCCGCTATAAAGACACCATAAGAGACCACACTTAAGCTGCTTGGAACACTTAGTTCCCAGTTATTTCTATTAGCTTGTCTATAATTTGCAATAAGGTGGATGCACAATAGCTATGGCTCTTTATCTTCTCCCAAAGTGCACATGGATGTTCCAAGGCTCAGCCAATGATAACATACAGCCTGATTTACTAAAATGTGACTGGACTGTGTATACACAGTGTGTGTCTGCTATCAGTTTAGAAAACAATTCTAACAATACTATGTGATGACTTGCTCTTTGAGGATAAATGACATTTCCTATAAATCCCTGCTGGACAGGAAATTATTGAATAAGATGTGTCCCATAGACCAGAATGAGAAACCGTTGATTTGAGCATTTCATCCTGGCGTGGTAGGGGTCAGACCCACTAAATATTTGATTCTTTTTATTAATTTTTTTGTCAGCATTTTCTATATTTATATAATGAAAACCACTGCCGAAAAAGGTGGCACTATATAAGTTCTGCTACTACTGCTACTAATAATATAAAATATAGCATTACTTTTTTTTAGTTTCACACATGATTATAACTATGTACCCTATTCTCTTTTTCTGAATGTTTGATTATGATCCTCTATTATATACCTTCAATATGCCAAAGTGATCTCTGCTGATTATGCTTTTTACTTGTGATTTTACAGGCTCATCTAAAAATGACACCGAGTCCAAACCTTCTTCTGAAGTGAGTACACTGATGCACTTTCCATATTTATGTATTACAACTAGGGTTGGCAAGTCCCAGTCTTCATGGTTTAGGGTAGTCTAGGATGACACACGAAATGTGTTTCCCTGCAGTATATATAATTCATGTGCTGCAGTAGGAAAATCAATGAAATTATTAATGAACTGTCCAAAAGGATGCATACTTACTTAATTTATCATGCATCTTACATGCACATATAGCCCCTATCCTCAAAACACTACAGAGCCAGTTTCCTGCCACACACATACTGCATTCCCTACCCTTCCACCTCCTAGGATCCCCTACACACATTGCACCCCCTATTTTGCCATCACATATACACTATCCGCACGCACAACAACACACACACACGTACTACAGCTCATATTTCCCCCACAAATAAACCACAATTCCTGTCTGCACACATACACTGCAACCACTAATTATGCAGTCACATGGTCTACATCCCTTATTTCTATCCCACACACAATACAGCCAATACCTCCTAACACACACTACAGCCTCTCTCGCCTCCCACACACAGTACTTATGCACAGCAAGTATTTTACTAAATGAATTTGCATTGTGCATAACAAACATGCATCTTCCCCATACAAAAGCTTTTTAGCAGGACTCTGTGTATGGGCTATTCTGGAGGGGCACTAAATTGTCATAATCATTATGGGGGCATGAATATGATGGAAATGTGTCTCCTTTCTTACATGCCCCATCCAGGGATATGATAGTATTATACAAATATATAATGCTTTCAACACAAACCATTGTCTTGAAAAATCTATTCATAAACAGGACTATGCATAGGACACAAATTCACCCATTTAGACTGAAAGAAAGGAGATTTAGTCTGAGGCAAAGGAAAGGTTTTTTTCACAATACGAACAATAGGGATGTGGAATTCTCTGCTTTTATAAGTCTCTTTACAAATGTTTGAACCGCAACTGGATGAATACTTGCAATATTCATGAATATGTTTAAAATGTGAAGTAACTTAACATCCTATTAATACATTGAGATATCTAACTACCATTCTGGGGTTAAAAAATATTTTTTCCCCTAGTTTGTTGCAAAATTGAAAAGTTCTTCAAACTGTTTTTTTTGCCTCTTTTGGATCAATAGAGAAACAGATGTGAGAAAGGCTGAACTTGATGGATAGAAATATCTTTTTACCTTATGTAACTATGTAACTATTCAGCTGATCTACCTTTAAATGCCTAGTCTGAATTTATTGTACCATTCTAGTCCTGCAGAGAAAAGTTTTAATGGCTTTGTTCAACGGAGATAGACGGTTTAGTATATGAGTGGGATTAATGCACAAAATCTTCAGAGTAAAGAAAAATTAAGGAGAAAAATAAGAGAGTGGGAGAAATGTTTATGTTTGTTTATATGTTTGTTTATATGTTTGGCTTGACTTCTTATAAATAAGCAAAATGAATAACAAAAAAAAAAAAAAAATATTTCATAAAACAGAATTAGAGCCCACTTATTTTCTTTTCAGATATAACAGTTTTGAGCACATTTTCTTATTATCTTACCTTGAAACTTTTGTATCTGAAAGAAGTGGTTGTTGTTACCAAATTCTATACTTTTAAAGGACCACTCTAGGCACCCAGACCACTTCAGCTTAATGAAGTGGTCTGGGTGCCAGGTCCAGCTAGGCACCCAGGACCAAGACTTCGTATGTTTATTAATGGGTTAAGCCTTCCCCCAAAGCCTCTAGTGGCTGTCTCATTGACAGCCACTAGAGGCGCTTGCGTGCTTCTCACTGTGATTTTCACAGTGAGAGCACGCCAGCGTCCGTAGGAAAGCATTGTAAATGCTTTCCTATGCGACCGGGTGAATGCGCGCGCAGCTCTTGCCGCGCCTGCGCATTCAGCCGACGGGGCGGAACGGAGGAGGAGAGAAGGATGAGAGCTCCCTGCCCAGCGCTGGAAAAACCCCTTTCCCCTTTCCAGAGCTGGGCGGGAGGGGGATCCTGAGAGTGGGGGCACCCTCAGGGCACTATAGTGCCAGGAAAACGAGTATGTTTTCCTGGCACTATAGTGGTCCTTTAATTAAAGTGACTTTAAACATCATAAACACATGCCATATACATTACAGACAGTTATTTATATTTATTTTTCCTCTTTAGGATGCTGACAAGTTCACCTCCCTGAGAACTCAAGATGATTGCTGAAATGAATGTACTTCAAAAATGTGCATGTTCAAAAAATAATGTCTGGACATTGAATAAAACATTTGTTGATTTTAAAAGTATACATTTTTAACTATCAATCATCAACTTTAACCCATCTTTCCAGTTCTGTAACAATTCTTCCTTGCTGATCCACAGCACCTTATTGCAGATTGAGGAGAAGACCCTAGCCTGTACCTTTTTCGGGTGCAGATTAACAGTACTCCTACACAAGCTGCTCAAAGCATTGCGGTGGGTTGCAACCACTGCAGGTAAATACCTAAGGTTGTCATTGAACCACTGGGGAATTTCTTGCACTACTCTCCCTGGCCTAAAGTGAGAAGTAGGGAGGGAGAAATAAAGAATATGTATGTCAATAAAAATAATAAAAAATATACTTCACATAACATAACTTATGCCACTTTACAAATTAAAGGACCACAATAGTGCCAGGAAAACAAACTCGTTTTCCTTGCACTATGGTGTAAAAAGGTCACCACCACCCTTATGGTCCCCCTCCCGCCAGGCTCAAGAGGGGTTAAGGGGTTAAACACTCACCTTTCTTCAGCGCCGGGCTCCCTTGGCGCTGGGGACTCTCCTCCCTCTTCTGACATCACCCGCCGAATGCGCATTCGCGGGAAGAGCCATGCGCACATTCAATCAGTCCATAGGAAAGCATTTCTCAATGCTTTCCTATGGAGGCGTGGAAGCGCCTCTAGCGGCTGTCAATGAGACAGCCACTAGAGGCTGGATTAACCCTAATGTAAACATAGCAGTTTCTCTGAAACTGCTATGTTTACAGCTGCAGAGTTAATCCTAGATGGACCTGGCACCCAGACCACTTCATTAAGGTGCCTATAGTGGTCATTTAAAAAAAAAAAAAAAAAAAACACACTCACTACAGCTCCTATTCCTTTGCCTCCCCTATACTACATCCCGTTCATATACAGTACAGCCACTGTGTACACACACATTGCATCCGCTATACACTCTTTGCCTTCCCTACACACATTTACTGGATGCCCTGTACACACACTACATTCTCTAAATGCAAAAATTACAATTACCCTATATGCACACTCACAAATTAAGATACTACAAACCATATACACACACTGCATTCCCTATAAACACACACACTTAAAATAACCCCTGTATACACAGACACTGTATCCCCTATAGACAGACACTACACTCCCTTTACATACAAATGTAGTGCAGTTCCTATACACACTTGCTACATTCCCGATACATACACTCACTAGATTCCTCATAAACACATGTTACATCTACTACACTGAAACATACACTGCACATAACTACACACTATATCCCCTACACACAAACAAACATGACATTCTCTAAACACACACTACAATCATACACTAGGTCCCTCCACACATCCTCAATACACACACACAGCAGCCTTTAAACCTGATTTAATCCACTATAAATTCACTTTCCATTTATATAGTTTGCTCTAATTTGCAAACAAAACTACTTATCTTCGCTTATCTCTACTCTTTCCTCCAACTCTAAACGATTTTTCTCTACCTTCATCTCTCTATTCTACTAACCTGCATCACTCCCATCTTCTGACTTCAGTGTCCAAGACTTCGTATACATCTTAAAAAAAGCACATACCATCATAAGCATCATCATGACACAAACTTGCAGTACACTTCATTCACCCCAGGTCACCCCCACTGCGACTCTGCTTCTTTCCCTGGCCACAGAAAATAGGTTTTTATAGTCTTCTTTATGCCTCACTATATACCTGCTTGACCATCACATCTAAAACTTCCTCTGTCTTCTATCTCACTTCTGCTCTCACTCATGTATTCAACCTATCCATTTACACTGGTTCATACTGTCCCATTTCATTCAATGGTCACTTCCATACTCAAGAAACCTTCCCTTGACCTTAATTCTACTACAAATTGCTGCCCAATTTCATTGCTTCCCTTAGCAATACAAATCTGATATACAGAACAGATTCCAGCAAATATCAAACCATATAGCCATTTTGACAGGCAGTATAATAATTTGGAAAAACAGCCCATTGTTGATTTTATGTTTGTTGCATTTTGAGACACCTCAAAGCAGGAGATACAAAAATTTTGAGACCAAAAAAGAGAAGGGAACAGGATACAACAGCTGGGAGAAGCAGTTCATGAAGGGTTATTAACTTCTCTAGTTTGCACCCTGGAAGAAATCAAGGCTAACACGACAGATTGATTTATTTACTGCTGGGTCAATATAGGCTCAACCTGGGCTACCGGAGAATAAACTCTAAAGACAAAATACTGTGGGCTGTGTTAAAAAAAAAAAAAAGTTTGTTTTTTTCTTCTCTCTTTTTTCTCCCATAATCAGTAACAATCTTTGAGAGAAATGGCTCCAAAAAGGAGAAGGAGGGAGATCAGGAAAGGGAAAAGAATACTAACTTGGACAAAAATAAGCCAATAAGTTATTTTTACCCACCCAAAGCCCAAGCCCTGTCCCAATAAAAAGAAAGAAAATCACTGCCACTAAATCATAAGCAAGACACAGGATTGTACATATCAAATACATCAGATGAAGATTTTCCACATCTAACTACCAGTCCTGAACAGCTAACACAGCAATCATTGTCGCAAATGGTGGATAACTTATTTGTCAAAATAAAAAAGGACATTGAAATCAATATTACTGAATCAAGAACTGAAATGTCTGCAATCTTGGTCACTTTAGCTACTCAAGCTGAGACTATAACAAAAATTCAGGAAGGCCACCTGAGGTTCCAAGAAGTTTCTATGCACATGGGACATAGAATAGAATCCCTTGAGAGCATAATTGCAGATTTAGAAGTCCAGTCCAGATGGAAACATATGCAAATTAGGGGGATTCCATAAAATATTCTTCAGGACCAATTGTCCAAATAGTTAGAGAAGTTATTTTCCATAATTCTTGGACCTCATAGCCTGGGAACACACCCCTTTGAGCAAATTCATAGGTTACCAAGACCTAAGAGCATTGATCCAACATAACCCAGAGAAGTTATAATTCGATTTGACAGTTACTAGATTTGACAGTTATTATATTATCATGCAGACAATAAGGAAATCCAAGTTAACGGATCCAGAATTTAAGGAGTTAAAATTCTCTCAGGACTTGTCCCTGGCTACGAGGCTAGCCAGATGGACATTTGCAGAACAAACAATAATTTTGAGGGCAAATGAAATAAAATATAAATGGGTTTTCCCAGTAGCCTTGGTTGTTTATTTTACAGCTGACTCTTACCACTTCAAACATCCAACAGTCCTCAAAGAAAAGAGGATTTACTGGAATCTGTCTATAGAATAACTGTGTATACATATAGAATGAAAATGGAGGAGAAGGAAAAGGAAGAAGTCATCAGAAGGAACAGACTTAAGATTTAACCCAGATCTAGTTTAGACATGTGCATAAGCTTCAGTGCATGTATGAATATATATGCATATATGTGCATATGTATAAGGCCCTGGGGAGATAGCGCAGGGCACATGTAGGAGTGTAGGGATAGATGCATGGGATTGGTTGGGAAAGAGTGTGTGGGTGGGATTATGTTCTGTGTAAATTAGTGTGGGGGAGGTCTTACCTCAGTGCCACTTGGGATTCGGGCCAGCAAACAGTTTCCTGTCCTCCTGCTCCTGTTTGCCTGGGCCTGCAGATTGACATGGCTTGAGGTGATGGATATTGAGGTGATCCTGTCGTCCCTCAGGGCTGCTGCTGCGCTGGATGGTGGCCGGCACCTAAGGGAGCAATTCACAAGCATTAATAGAGGTATGGCTACCGGTGTGGGCACCCCCTGTGGCCTACCCTCCCCATGGGGCACCCCCTGCGGTCTCCCCTGCGGGCCATACCAGCACTGGCAGGCATTCCCGCCCGCCTGCGAGGCTGTCCCTGGATCCTGCTCCCCGGGCCCGGTTGACGGGCAGGAGCCTTGGGCACCGCGGGGGCCACGTGTCTGGGGCTACAGGCACGCGGCCTACTACTGGGGGCGGGGATTTCAGGCCTACCGAGGCCACGTGCATGGCACTGCCTTCAGACCCGAGGCCTGCCACTGCCAGCGGGCTGCTACCCCCATGGCCACCCGGCCTGCTCCTTCGTGGGCCGGCCGGCCTGCTACTCCCAGGCCGGGGATGCGGCCTGCAACTGCCGCTTGGCCTCCTGGTGCGGCTGCCGCGCGGCATACTCCTCTCCCACCCTCCACACCATCCGCCCCGGCTGCCAGCGCTGGATTGCGGGCCTGGGGCGGTGGATCCAGTGATCCGGTCGGCAGGTGGCCGCCCGGCAACTGTCCGGGTCCCCCGCGGCCAGCGGGGAGGTGGGTTATTTTAATATTTGCATTATTTTTTTTTTTTATTTTTTTTGTCCCCCCTCCCTGCTTGTTGCCTGGCCAGGGAGGGGGGAAAAAAACATTAAAAATAAATAAATAATGCAAATATTAAAATAATAATAATATAGTAATAAAATAATATTATTTTAATATTATATTATTTTAATATTATTTTATTATTATATTATTATTTTAATATTTGCATTCTTTTTTTTAAATGTTTTTTGTCCCCCCTCCCTGACCAGGCAACAAGCAGGGAGGGGGGACAAAAAAACCATTTAAAAAAAATAATGCAAATATTAAAATAATAATAATATTATTAAAATAATATAATATTAAAATAATAATAATATAATATAATATTAAAATAATATAATAATAATATTAAAATAATATAATAAATTTTTTTAAATAAAAATGCCCTCCCCTCATCCAGTTTACACACACTGCATAAACACACACACTGCATTATATACACACACACACACACAAACACACACACACTGCATTCATTATATATACACACACAAACACACACTCTGCATTCATTCTATACACACACTGTAAATAAATATTCAATTAATGTAATTTTATTGGGATCTAATTTAATTTAGAAATTTACCAGTAGCTGCTGCATTTCCCACCCTAGGCTTATACTCGAGTCAATAAGTTTTCCCATTTTTTTGTGGTAAAATTAGGGGCCTCGGCTTATATTCGGGTCGGCTTATACTCGAGTATATACGGTATATGGAGGTGGTTTTGGAGGCTTTTGGCATCGGGGCACCATTTAGAGACAGTGCTATGGTGCAGTTTACACTGTCCCTTCAGGAAGGGTTTCTCGCTTTATGTTTCAATCAGATTGGTTCAGTGTAAACAATAGACCTAGGCAGGGATGCCCTTTTGCTCCCTTGCTCTATATATTAACGATTGAGCCATTGGCAGCATTACAGGGAGTGCAGAATTATTAGGCAAGTTGTATTTTTGAGGATTAATTTTATTATTGAACAACAACCATGTTCTCACTGAACCCAAAAAACTCATTAATATCAAAGCTGAATATTTTTGGAAGTAGTTTTTAGTTTGTTTTTAGTTTTAGCTATGTTAGGGGGATATCTGTGTGTGCAGGTGACTATTACTGTGCATAATTATTAGGCAACTTAACAAAAAACAAATATATACCCATTTCAATTATTTATTATTACCAGTGAAACCAATATAACATCTCAACATTCACAAATATACATTTCTGACATTCAAAAACAAAACAAAAACAAATCAGTGACCAATATAGCCACCTTTCTTTGCAAGGACACTCAAAAGCCTGCCATCCATGGATTCTGTCAGTGTTTTGATCTGTTCACCATCAACATTGCGTGCAGCAGCAACCACAGCCTCCCAGACACTGTTCAGAGAGGTGTACTGTTTTCCCTCCTTGTAAATCTCACATTTGATGATGGACCACAGGTTCTCAATGGGGTTCAGATCAGGTGAACAAGGAGGCCATGTCATTAGATTTTCTTCTTTTATACCCTTTCTTGCCAGCCACGCTGTGGAGTACTTGGACGCGTGTGATGGAGCATTGTCCTGCATGAAAATCATGTTTTTCTTGAAGGATGCAGACTTTTTCCTGTACCACTGCTTGAAGAAGGTGTCTTTCAGGAACTGGCAGTAGGACTGGGAGTTGAGCTTGACTCCATCCTCAACCCGAAAAGGCCCCACAAGCTCATCTTTGATGATACCAGCCCAAAACCAGTACTCCACCTCCACCTTGCTGGCGTCTGAGTCGGACTGGAGCTCTCTTCCCTTTACCAATCCAGCCACGGGCCCATCCATCTGGCCCATCAAGACTCACTCTCATTTCATCAGTCCATAAAACCTTAGAAAAATCAGTCTTGAGATATTTCTTGGCCCAGTCTTGACGTTTCAGCTTGTGTGTCTTGTTCAGTGGTGGTAGTTTTTCAGCCTTTCTTACCTTGGCCATGTCTCTGAGTATTGCACACCTTGTGCTTTTGGGCACTCCAGTGATGTTGCAGCTCTGAAATATGGCCAAACTGGTGACAAGTGGCATCGTGGCAGCTGCACGCTTGACTTTTCTCAGTTCATGGGCAGTTATTTTGCGCCTTGGTTTTTCCACACGCTTCTTGCGACCCTGTTGACTATTTTGAATGAAACGCTGATTGTTCGATGATCACGCTTCAGAAGCTTTGCAATTTTAAGAGTGCTGCATCCCTCTGCAAGATATCTCACTATTTTTGACTTTTCTGAGCCTGTCAAGTCCTTCTTTTGACCCATTTTGCCAAAGGAAAGGAAGTTGCCTAATAATTATGCACACCTGATATAGGGTGTTGATGTCATTAGACCACACCCCTTCTCATTACAGAGATGCACATCACCTAATATGCTTAATTGGTAGTAGGCTTTCGAGCCTATACAGCTTGGAGTAAGACAACATGCATAAAGAGGATGATGTGGTCAAAATACTAATTTGCCTAATAATTCTGCACTCCCTGTAATTAGGCAGTCAAAGGAGGTTAAAGGAAGAATGTTTAATACAACTGCTAAAAAGGTAACATTATATGCAGATGACGTGCTCCTATTCCTATCGGACCCCATAGATTCCAAACCAGAAATTTTTAAACTGATTCATGAGTTTGGCAAATTGTCGGGTTATAAGGTTAATATAAATAAGACTCATATTCTCTTAAAATATTCACCAGAGACTAAAAAGTTTAATTTAGATCAGAATGCTACTAGAATTGACTATCT